AACTTATATTAGAAATAAAAAATAAAAAATTCCCGTGCAGACACACGAAGTTAAAATCTAGTAATTCAATTAATTGGAGAAAACGACACAATTAATATCAGGTTGTGTGACGAGTCACGAGGCAAAGCCTCAAAACTAAGACTTTATGTCAATTTCGCAAATTATTAGTTACAAATAAATAATATACTCGAAAAAATAAAAAGAAAGAATAGATAGAATTTTTGTATAATCGACACCAAAAGATTCGGAATTACATAACTTAGAAACGTGGGAAATTGTTATCTACAAGTTAGAAGCATCTTATATTCTCGATTGTGATTGGCATATATCAATCACTCTCACAATGCAGTGAACCCTATATTTTGTTTCTACTTTAAATTTTATATATTAGATTTTTCTGTCATATGTTACATTAACTAAATGATAATTATCTTAATTTTTGTTGGAATTTCAAGACGATAACTTTCACCAAAACTTGAAAGATTAAACTGTGAAAGATTAAACTATATATGTAGTGAAACTGGTTTGAATAATAGTATATAATTAATTTATACAATTCCCGTATATATTATGTGTCATTTTAAGATTTAATATTTGTTTTAATTTTGAAGTTTTTTATATTTTTATTGCAAAGTTTTGATAAATTTTCAGTTTTATCTTTTGTTTAAAGCAATTTTTGATGGATACAATATTATCTCCTACGAACTAGTTTGAATATCGTTTCGAATTCTCTGATCATGATTTTTTTTTTGAAAACAATTAGTAATGTGAGTCAACGAATGCTTTATGATTAAAACGGGGTGTTTAAAACATTCGTATGTTTCCTGATCTGGATTCGGCTCATCTGCTACAGACTTACAGTCATATTAAAAAAGCTGATTTATACTATAATCTGTAGTTTCCTTATTACAAGAAATGTTGACGCCCTCCCCAAACCCATGAAAAGAATGGGCCAAAAAGTATAATACAAAAGAAGCTGAAACTTTTTTTTTCTTTTGACATTTAGGAGTTTTGTCTATAGTTTCCACTACTGTATCAAGATGCCCCACAATATAATAATATATTTATACATATATGTTTGTATATATCAATCATTAGTATATTAGTGATGAATGATGATTAATATAATCAAATCGACGTGCAACTTGGAATGCTTCTAATTTCGACACCTGGATAACGTGCGTCAATCTAAATCACAATATTATTTCTTCGTATTCAATGTAATTAAGTTTCATTTCATATGTTTGTATATAATATAGGAGTATTCTTTTTTTTTTTGATAAAGAGGAGTATTCGCCAATACATAAATCATAGAGGTATTTTAAAAAATACCAACTTTCTAGTTTCTAATTTTTTAAAAATATGAAAATTACTCTTGAACGTTTAAAAATTCATTCGAATAGTTAATAAGTATTTTTTTTAAGTGATGAATAATGATTAATAAACCATTGCGCCACGAAAGGGTTTAAAGAATTTTTCTATATCCCACCCAAAAAGAGAGATATAGAACTGTGTTGATAAAAGAGGGGGCAGTCTGATTGGGTGAGGTTGAAGAAGCGTGTGACCGAGAACTTTGAGCTTATGATTAATTAAATATTTTTGTTTATTTTATTTTTGCCGCCGCAATGCTATTGGATTCCTTCATAGTTTCCTTTACGATAGCAATAATATTTAATAAATGACCTTTTTTAAAACACTATATTGGTTGTCAATTTTGATTTTCAGGTTTTCTATCATAATCACATGAACTGATTTTTTTCCCTGATTTTTTTTCAGAGGGGGTTTCATTGTAGCCAAATAATTGCACCATGTATCAAATATATATATATTATCGCTTATACTTATATACTCTATATATATGGTGAATTCTAACATTAATATTTAAGCTAGCTAGGTAATAGGTATGTTATGAAATACATCATATATTAGATGGAAAATGGAGTAATATTTAAGGAATATTAGTTAACTTATTCATCACCAATTTGTTTTGAAAAATCATGATTTATAACAAAGTACCACAATACATGTTTGAAATTCACGTAAAAAAAGAGAATATTTATGAATGACTTCACAAATCTCGAACCATTGTTAGCTGAGGATTTTAACCTTCTCGCTTGTTGTGTACCACAAACCTCATATTTTGATATTATACGATACGACAGTCTAGATAGGTATCCAGTACAGCATCAATCAGTCGTCTACAAACATATCGACGTCGATTTTATTCGATGTGAGATAGTTAAAGGCGAATTCTTTGCCCGAGGTATCTAAATACATGATCAAATTGGTTGATACCTTCACTTTCGGACGAGATTTAAAATATTTTGAAAAATAGACAAATTTTCACGCTCCAAACTTAAAAGATAATAGTACCACATATATATATATATATACTAATATGTATTCTAGTAAAATATCTTTATATCTAGAGTTGGTATTCAATCAACTGTTTGTATAAAACTTGCGGGTCAAGCCAAACTTAGATAGATATCAATTTTACTAACAAAAATCTTACGTTTTTATTTTATTTTATTGCAATATTCCACGATATAAACTCTTATTACAATTACATTTGCATGACAGTTGCATATCAATAATTACCTTATGTTTGTTTGTTCCGACTATAAATACAATAAAACTTTTTTTTTTGTGAAATGTATAAATTTATATATATATATATATATCCATCTAAGAGAAAATGAGACTTCGTGGATGGCATACGGTCCATACATCGACAGGCTTAATTAAGAATCTAAAAACACTAGAGTTAGCCCTAGCTATACACACCCACTCTACATATTATATATGTGTATTATTTATGTATGTATATTTGTGTGTGTCCTTCGCCTAAGCCATATAGCATTTGAAAGCTATAGACCAACTGATAAGAGGTAAAGCAGAAGAAGAAATCTAATAAAGTTAAAAAGAAGAAGAAAAAAAAAGGAGAGAAAAAGAAGAGACATCACTTCTCCCTAAATCTTATATTCGCTTTTCGAACTTCAACCTCATGGGATGGGACAGCTGAAGAATCTTTTGTTGATTTTCATTTTCTTTGTTTAACTTTTCTTGATTTAGAAATTTACTCAATCTCTCGGGGTCGGGGTTCCTTTTATCAATATGTACAATGATGTTTTTTTCTAAATGTTTGTGTCTAAGCCATTTACAATCAATGGAACCAATACCGACACTTTTTTTTCAGTTCAATTTCTTCCGACCCTAACCTTAGTTTGATCCGTATCCATAGGATTGAAAATTACTACAAAAATATAAAAAAACTTATCGTACAAAAAAATTACAAAAGCATATAATATCTAAGTCTCTAAACTCTTGTTAATTTTTTTTTTTTTTTAAAACAGTGAGAAATAAGTCACAACTATTTTAAAAAATAACATAAATAATTTGCTTAACTACCAACCAACAGAATGACACACGAATCTTGAGCACACAAGGAAACAGAATAAACTAACACACAATCATAGCTTTATCACACGATTATGACATAACCGTGTCCGGATTCATCTGTAATCCCCCACAAAATAATTAATAAATTGGCGACTAAGTGTTACTAAACTAGGTTATCTTATACGACGATCAAGGAGAAAAATGAGTCAAAGATCTTGAAAATTAAGCATATCCTTAGCTGTAAGTGTAACTAATAAAGATACCATTACGAGAAGCTTGTACTTAAAAAAAATAAAAATAATGATGAGTGAATTACAAGCTTTATTCATAGACAAGGAAAAATTATCTTAATCGATCTAGACGTTTCTGATTATTGGCTACGTGGACTCAGTAGACCAACAATTGACGCTTCTTCATCGCCCACCAATAATATAGCCTTCTCGAGACACATTGATATGTGCAACAGCAGAAAGGATATCCTATACAAATATTCCACGTTGCGAAGTGGGCCTGAGACAAGTAGATCAAGCCCAATTTCAAACGTCGCTTCCATGATGATAAAGACAAGACAACGTAGGATGAGAGACATACACTTGAATTATATTCCAAGATTAGCATTTATGATTCGTATAAATGTTGATTCTCCCAAAAACTACTCTCTAGTCAATGTCGTATAAAGTTCTTGACTGGATATTATGTGCTAAGTTACTTCCTACAAAGCTCAATTACCGTACGATCAAATTATTCAAACTAGAAACAGTTTATAAGTGTTTTAAGTTTTTAACTAAGTGACAAGAGCTCTTCGTACATATGATTCGGGATGGATAGATATTAGTTGAAACAAACCAAAGATTCAATCCACGAATGTTGTAAATATTCAGAAGGAATTTTTTTTGTCTCAAATTCTAAAACCTTCATAATTATATTGTTAGTTGTGAGTCCTCTTAGAAAGATTGTTTTAATGCATATCCAAGAGACCTAGCAACCACATTTTCCACTTGAGTATACATGAAAACAAAATATACGTATTAATATGCATTTTAATATAAAAGCTATATTATTTGAAGAAATATGGGAGAAGTATAACAAATTCCATTTTGAACAATGGAGACACCCTCAAGTTGCAACAATAGTCTTCAAAATTATGCTTTTACATTGTCACCTAAAGATATATAAAATATTAACAAAACAAAAACACAGAAAAAAAATTGAGCTACTGTTTAGTCAAGACAAGATAAGCCACAGTCTACACACACAACAAGACTTACAATTGAGAGTAGGAGTTTATCTGCCAACTTCACAATGTAAAGGAATAATTGGCAGATAATGTTTCTCCGCAGCAATCATAAGCAGAGCTCATTGAATGACAAAAAAATATAAGAATTGGCAGACTAGACATATTGAAACGTACTAGTGTATTGTAGGTTTACCTCAAACTCCAGAGGAATAATTTTAGAACTTTCAGACCAGGCCCAATAATAATTCGAACCCATTGAATCTTTAAAAGGTGTTAGGCCCATCTCTCTCGCGCTCTCTCGCTCTCTCTCTCTCTCTCTCTCTCTGTCGACGACATTTACATGTTTACTGGGTCAATTTTTCGTTCCGGAAATTAATTCGTCACCTTTGATTTGGGAATATGACAAAATCAATCTGGGGATGGAGTTTTGTCGATTTTCTATGACTTTCTGTCTGATTTATTTCTTCCGGTGATTCAACTCTTCTTCCACGCTCTAAGTCACGGCATTGGATGGTTTCATTTTCTCACGCAGGCGAGAGAGAAAGAGAGAGAGAGACAGGTGATTGTTTTGGTTGACTTGTTTTCGATCTCAGATGGGGATTGTGCAGCACTTGTGTTCTCAATTAAGGGCGTGAAATCTGGTTTGTAAAGCAGAGACCTTTCAGGTGGTTCTTACAGAATTTTGAAAAAGCTATTTAGGGTTCTTGAATGGACTTGAAAATGGATAATGTAATTGGGGGCAAGTTTAAGCTTGGTCGTAAGATCGGTGGTGGCTCTTTCGGGGAGCTTTTTCTAGGTATATTTACTTCTTATCAATCCTTTCTTTGTGATCGGTTCTTAATACGTATTCAATTTTGTGGATTACCTTACTTTCTGTCTTAATTAAATCTGATTCTTTTAAAATATCTTCAGGCGTGAGTGTGCAAACCGGAGAGGAAGTCGCTGTTAAGCTGGTATTGTTTTAATCTTCCTTCTCTTCATCACTAATTATAATTGACATGTGATTTAAGATCTCGTTTCTAAGTTTGATCATAGTTGATGAAAACTCTTTGTTCTTCATCTTCATGATGGTTTTCTGTGATTCCTAGTTTGAAAGGAAGACTACTGAGCATTTTAAATTATTTTTTTCTTTAAAAGGAACTTCCTTTGGAAATTCAATTTTATCTGTTACTTGAAATAGCTCTAGTGGAATTGTTATTCAATCTTTTGGCTGCATTATTTTTTGAGTTTCATTTTGCTATCAACTTATGTTTTGGTATTCAAGTGCGAGTTAATAAAGCTAGAGGGAGTCAATTGCTAGAATCACTTTGCATATCGCCATAGCTTATTGATCACTGAAAAAAACCATATCTTTATTGAGAGTTCTGATTACTGAACAATTCGGCAACAGATTACATCTAATGTTCTGTAAAACTTTGTAGGAGCCTGCGAAAACTAAGCATCCCCAACTTCATTATGAGTCGAAGATATACATGCTTCTACAAGGAGGAAGTAAGTTTACAACTCCTATAGCTGCGAACATTGTCCCAATTCGATGAAAAACATGCTTAGCTGTGCGGAACGAGTCCTGGTCATCTGATATTTAATTTGTTTTCTATGGTGAAGCTGGCATCCCTAGCCTCAAGTGGTTCGGGGTTCAGGGAGACTACAATGCGATGGTCATTGATCTGCTTGGGCCGAGTTTGGAAGACTTGTTCAACTATTGTAGTAGGAGGCTCACTTTGAAGGCAGTTTTGATGCTTGCAGATCAACTGGTGAGAATTCTCAATTGCTGCTTTCACTTTGTCGAGGGAGAAGAAATGATGTTAGAAGTTTGGAGTTCCACCTAACAAAAGATTTGTTGATCATTGTAGATTAGCAGAGTTGAATATATGCATTCAAGGGGATTTCTTCACCGAGACATAAAACCAGACAACTTCTTGATGGGACTTGGTCGCAAAGCAAACCAGGTGCTTTGTTCTGTACACTTTTTTTTTTGATGAATTGTTATGCGCTAACCAATGATTTCCATAGAGAAAGTTATGTTAGATTCCGTCTTCTCTCTCTTTGTTACTCTTGGTATGATTACTGAATATGAGTTTTTGCTTTTGCTCTCTTTTCAAAAAATTGTTTTCAATTTGGATTACTCACAGCGTAAGAATGACAATTTATTAGCTAGAGACGTTTAACATAGATTGCTGAAATCATCTCCTCAATAATATGTATATAGGTGTATATCATTGATTTTGGCCTTGCAAAGAAGTATAGGGATCTCCAAACACATAGGCACATTCCGTACAGGTGATTTATGGAACTTTCAAGCGCATGTTTGTATGCTTCTTTCATTTTTTTCTTACTTAAATTCTTACAGATACTAATGTTGTTTTCATTACAGAGAAAACAAGAACCTTACGGGGACCGCTCGGTATGCGAGCGTCAACACTCACCTTGGAGTTGGTAAGCAGTTCATAGAATCACCTGAGATCTGCTCCAAAGTTGTGTTTGAAATTCCTCAAACGTGTGCCTGTTTGCGTACTTGTTGGCAGAGCAAAGTCGGAGGGATGATCTGGAGTCTCTTGGTTATGTGCTCATGTATTTCCTGAGAGGAAGGTTCTGCATACAGATCCTTTTTTTGTCTGATTAAATCATTTGGACGTGCTTGTTCTGGTCTGATTTTTTCTGGAATTTTATGTGTTTCAGCCTCCCGTGGCAGGGACTAAAAGCAGGCACAAAGAAGCAGAAGTACGACAGAATTAGTGAGAAGAAAGTTTCAACTCCTATAGAGGTATGGTAATATGGCTGATGCCCCCTTGGTTGGAGTTAGATCCGCTGTTGTTGTCACATAATTCACAGGTTAACTGTTCTACACTACTTATAACAGGTCTTGTGCAAGTCACAGCCACCCGAATTCGTATCATACTTTCAATACTGCAGGTCTTTGCGATTCGAAGACAAACCAGACTACTCATATCTAAAGAGGCTGTTCCGAGATTTGTTTATTCGTGAAGGTTTGTGCTTTCAAAGGCTAAACTTTTGCTCCTAGCACTGGTATATCTATGTTAAGATTTTGATCGCAGATATAATGAAGTCTCACTTTCCTAAAAAAATTTTCTGGTATATGGTCACACTATTTTTTATAGATCTTGAATAGAAACTGTAAATCTCGTACACTTATATATCTTTGCTGATAGATGTAATGCTTATTACATGTAAAATGTTTCACTCATTTGAAAACAAACAAATGGTATCAGGTTATCAGTTTGACTATGTATTCGACTGGACTGCATTAAACCACCCTCAGAGTTGTGCCAGTTCCCGTTCCAGCTCTCACGGAAGGGTGAGTACACTTGTCCTTAAATATCTCTATGTAGAGTGTCTTTTACTCACTTTGATTACCTTTTGTACCTTAAATATATCAGCATCGTGCCGCTAAACCAGTGATGGCCGCGGGACCTTCTGCTGAAAAACCTGAAAGGATTTCAGGTGATCCTAATACTATACGCTTAACTAACAAGTGGTCGGATCTGATTTTTTTTTGCAAACTATCTATATATTCTATTCCTTACACTCTTACAGTTGGGAAGGAAATCCGCGACAGATTCTCAGGTGCGGTTGAAGCATTTGCGAGAAGGAACGCTACAGGAGCCAGTCCCCATCAAAACCATACCAGACATCGAACTCTTGACGATATTCCTTCACCTATTAAACCTGCTGTGGTAAAAATATATATGATCATCATGTGCAAGAATTGTTTCAACACTTTTCAAGATATCAAACTCATGTTGGTGTTAGTAGAGAGATTAATTAGTCTTCCACGTTCTTGATATGTTTCTAATCTCATTTTTGTCAGAATATGGTATCTGAGAAAGGAAGAAACACTTCCAGATACGGCAGTGCTTCAAGGAGAGCGGTGGCCTCGGGAAGTAGACCGAGCTCATCAGGTGAACAAGGAGAGAGCCGAAGCTCGAGCCGTGTGGCTTCAAGCGGTGGTGGAGGCAGGCCATCTGTGTTTCAGAGAACACAAGCAGCAGCTGCTTTGAGTGGATACGACTCAAAGACGGCCTCTGCCTTTAACCGCAACCGAGTGGCTGCTTCTAGGACCGCACGTGACGAGGCTCTCAGGAGTTTCGAGCTTCTTTCCATCCGCAAATGATAAACAACAACGAAAAACGATTGAAGCCTTTTCAATGGGTTTCTCTTTTCTGTAAATTTGGATTCTTCTTTTACATATGTTGTTTGGTCCCTCCGTTTCCAAGAGACTCCCAATTTTTCATGTATTATTATGATGTGCTTTGGATTTTTGTATCAAATTTTACTCTCTTTTTATTGTAATCACCTTTCACTACAAGTTGTTGAGTTTTTTTCTCTTTTACTCTCTTTTTACTATGGTTGTTGTTGGAGTACTAATTCTTAACTATTCGAAGTTTATAAACAAAAAATAATCGAACTTTTGAACTAATCCCTCCATTGCTTGCATACTATAGTAAAAAGTAGTCCTGGCCTTTACAATTTACATTAGCCCGACGTCGTTTCCATCGTGTAATGAAAGTATTAACGCGTATTCCAAAAATCGTCGTTTGAAAACGTCAAGTTTAACGGCAGCTCACGACGGTGATCGTGTCGTGACTCAGGGCGTCTTTCCTCGCTCCAACATTGTTTGATTTTAAATTGACCAACACAGAGGACGAAGCACGAAGATCGATCGATTTATCATCTACTTCATGCTTCTGAATCCGATAAAGGTACATAATTTCATTTTTTACAACTGCTGGCTGTAAAGGGTTATGTTCCTGTCGGAATCGGGAAGATGTTTAGATTGTAATTTTCTCGAGTCTGGTGCATTCCTTTAATTGAAGTTTTAACCTTTTTGTTATTTGTTTGTTGTTTGGGAAACTTTTGACTTTTAGCTGGAGATTTTGTAGGGTCAATTTTGATCGTTGTTAATTGTTTGATAAATTTTATACAGGAATGATAGTCTATTATAGGCTTGCTTTGAATCTGGATTGACCCCTCAAAAAAAAAAGAATAAGGAAGTGAGAAAAAAAGAATAAAGCTTGGATGATTTGTTGTGGATATATGTGGAAATCCGGAGGAGAAGATTTGCAAGGTTTCTATCCGGTTAGATCAGAATGTCAAACAGATGTTCCAAGAACACGGTTTAAATCAAGGGTTTGTCTTTTTCTTCCCATCATGTTCTTCTTCTTTATCTGAATATTTCTTATGGAGAATTAAATTTGGGATTGTAACTTATCAGGCTGGCAAAACTCTAAGTGCTAGAAGATGGCACGCTGCGTTTACTGAAGATGGACATTTGGATATGGAGAGAGTTCTCCGGCGTATACAGCGAGGGGTGAGTCTATATTGGTGTCTTGTTCTCTTATTAGTCTATGGCCTTGTTGTTCACTAGAATACCTTTTCAGGGAATTCATCCATCAATCAAAGGAGAGGTTTGGGAGTTTTTGTTAGGAGGTTACGATCCGGACAGCACGTTTGATGAAAGGAACAAGCTGAGGAATCACAGAAGGTACTAATGCCTTATGTTGCTGTGATTCAACGTCCTTGAATTGATTATCTTAGGACGAGAGAAGTTATTGAATGCTAAGTAGTTTGGTAGATTCGTTTGAGTTTCGTTTTCTGCTCCCGGCAATGTACTTTGTCGCTAATCTCAATGTGCTTATGATCTAAGGGAGCAGTACTGTGCTTGGAAAGAAGAATGTCGCAAAATGGTTCCTCTTGTTGGTAGCGGAAAGTTTGTCACAATGGCAGTTGTTGCGGAAGATGGGCAGCCATTAGAAGAGTCTTCAGTAGAAAATCAAGGATGGCTCGTGAAAACCGCTATAACAGACAAGCGTGTGCTCCAATGGATGCTCGTGTTGAGTCAAATCGGTATTTCTTTTTATTCGTACATGAGTTTATGTTCTGTAGAATTCTGTTTTAAGCATCAGAATATGCAAATGCTCTTCAAGAACTGCTTATATGGTGGAATTTTGGTTTGCAGGCCTTGATGTTGTTAGAACGGATCGGTATCTAAGCTTTTATGAGAATGAGAGTAATCAAGCAAGACTATGGGATATTCTTGCCATATATACATGGCTAAATCCTGATATTGGTTATGTTCAGGGTAAGTCTATTTGGCGTTAATGATGAGAGTACGACACAGAAGAACATATAGAAGAGAAGGCAATTAATCATCTACTTTGTGTAGGAATGAACGATATATGTTCCCCAATGATAGTCTTACTCGAAGATGAAGCTGATGCTTTCTGGTGCTTTGAGCGTGCAATGCGAAGACTAGTAAGAATCTAAAAACTCCAAGTCTTGTTTTGTGTCCATCCGTGGATTTTGTTGTTTTCTTGGTTTTATAGTGAGTTTCAGAGAGAAAATTTCAGGACAACGGCGACATCAATGGGCGTCCAAACTCAGCTGGGTATGCTCTCACAGGTTATTAAAACCGTTGATCCTCTGCTCCATCAACATTTAGGTACTCCTTCCTTTTGACTTCGTTTGAGTTTTGTTTTCTCTGCACTTCTCATGCTAAGTTAAAGACATTATACTCTCTTTCCACGACAGAGGATCTTGACGGTGGAGAGTATTTGTTTGCTATACGGATGTTGATGGTTCTGTTCAGGAGAGAATTCTCCTTCCTTGATGCCTTGTACCTTTGGGAGGTAACAAGACTCTGTTTTGTTTTCATTTTGATTTCTTTACATCGCATTTGTTCTTGATGTCTTAAACTGATTGTGAGGCTGTGAAATTGATTTTTATCCACCTGAGAGAACCCATTTCATGTTCTTTTAGGGTACTGTCTCTTGAACTGAGCTGATAATAAGACTGAGTTAGAATTTGGTTTCAGCTTATGTGGGCTATGGAGTACAATCCAAACAAGTTTGCCTCATATGAAAAACCAGAGAACCGTAACAACTTGTCGGGACAGGATCCGAGGTTATTGAAGCAGTATGGAAAGTTTGAGAGAAAGTATATAAAGAGTGGCCAGAACGAGCAACACAACACGCTCGCTGTTTTCGTTGTCGCAAGCGTTCTTGAAACAAAGAACAAACGTCTCTTGAAGGAAGCTAAAGGCTTAGACGACGTTGTTCAGGTCTCTCTCTTTATCCAAAAGAAAACACCTTTTGAGAATACTCTTTTCTATGAACTTATGGCAATTTAGTTAATTTTTTTCTTCGGTTGGTTGCAGATATTGGGCGATATTGCGGGTAATTTGGACGCGAGAAAAGCGTGTAAAGAAGCGTTGAAGATTCATGAAAAATTCCTGAGAAAGGTGACTACTTTTCTGAATCATGCTCTTTTTCTTCTACTTCTCTTACTAATAACTGAAATGTTCTTGCAGGCTAATAGGCGATAGACATTGCTTAACCTTTAACCATCTATTTTCCGGTTTTGTCAGACCGATTCTGATTTCGATCTTGGCCTAGAAATCTGGTAAAGATCGTGGTTGGGGATCCATGAGAACACTCTGATTCTATTGTTCTTTCATTTCTGTAAACTTTTTGTTCTTATGCATTTCAGTTCCCCGTTTGTAGTGTGCTAAAGAAATTAAAACATTCGTGTGCCGTTTCTTGTTTACAAGAAGGAACTTCTTGATGTTATCATGTCTTTTATCATAGTTGTTTCATCCTTTGTTATATAGATGCTCAAACATTTTGCAATCATATATAAACTATAAAGTTCGAAGATACGTTGGATCAATCCATACAGATAAAAAAAACTCAAGCCGAATGATATACAATCCAGAGTTTTCGATTACAAAATAATGTGAAGTAGTATAACTATATATAATCTTTTAACCGACCAAAAAAATACATTCTTGTGAACACGAATTGATTTCAGAAATCATAATTTTTATTTCCTACAGAAATTATAAATTAGCAATACAAACGGTTGAACCATAAACATTTACATATCCTAAAAATAGGCTTGTTAAACAAAAACAAATAGACAAATTAATTTAACAAAACCAATCTCATCCCTTCTTTTCTTTCCCTTTTCATTTTTTTGTTTTGTTGTTATTCATTTGAAGGCATTTTTTCCTCTATAGTATCCCATTTTTGTTATTTTTTGTGAACTAATATTACAAAAAATCTAAACCATTGAGTTAACGAAAATCTTGGAAAAAAACAAAAATTGTTTTCCCCCCTCATTTCTCCATCGACATTTTTCTCTTTTCACACATTTTCGAAAACATTTTCCTTTTTGTCAATCTTCTTAGTTTCTTCAGTTGAACCCCGGTTTTGTTAAATCTTCTTAAATAAAGTTGCCGTAATTAGTTTCTTTTGGTTTACGTTTGGATTTTTTAATCACTTTTTTTTTTCGGATGCAAGAACCTGCAAAAACATGGATGCTCATAAAATTTCGAGATGAATATTTGCTGTTTTCTCAAAACATACCTAGGGATTCTTGAGCTGAATGCAGGCTTTTTCTTTTTCATTTTTCACCATTCCTATAATTTTCTTAAGTTTATGGTCACAAATCTCTGTAAAACATATAAGAGGTAAAATTTTGAGTGGATTTGTGAATTTTTTACTGGGTTATTAAACTAGAAAAGTTAGGTTCAACGGTTGGTATCATCGATCATTCGTTATATAAAAATAAAAGATTTAAGGAGAGATAGTTTTCCCCAACGAAGAAGAGATCTATGCAACTCGCAATGTCAAGTACCAAGATGAAATGCCTCTTGAAAGGGCTCCGATATATATCTCAAGTATTTGGTAAGTTTTTTTTTTTGTTCTTTCCTCTTTTGTTTTGAATATTTCAGACTCAATTATGACTGCTACATATTGAAAAGAATAACAGAAACAATATAATATATAATAGTAATTAATAGAGAATCTTATTTTTACTTGATTAGTGCCAAGGCATCTCGTATCTTCTTTGTTTTTTTTTTTTTTTTTATATCAACCTTTGATTATTCAGACTATATGAATTGTCTAGTGTTTTGGGTGTCGTTCTGATGATGCCTACTCGTTATTTAGAACGAATTTGAAAAGACAGTGGTGATGGTGAATGACATAATGACTTGACATGGATGGTAATTCCGTATAACTGTGTGATAACTGATAGGTAAAAAAAAACTAGAAAATGTCAAAGGATGCATTTGCTATTCACATTAGCTATTTAGCTGGACTTCGACAACTTATGGTCGAAACTAGATTCCACTTTTTCTGCAGACATTGTAATGAATTCATGGAAACAAATTCCACATGCCTGATCTCATTTGAATTACAGCATTTGTTGTCAATAAAATTCCACAATCATTTTTGTTTTTTTGTTTTTTCATTCATTTTAGTGTTTACCCTTGTAGGTAAAAAAAATCTGCAGATACTAGATAAAGTCATTTGTAATTGTATTTCCTTTGAATGAATTGATGAACATTAAAAAAACTTTTGATTATGATAAAATAAGCAATAGAAGGTGAAAAGGAACAAGAGATGCAAATCGGAAATCCAACGGACGTAAAGCATGTTGCCCACATTGGTTGGGATGGACCGTCTGATAATGCCACAGCACCTAGCTGGGTACTACTCTATTCCTACATCTCAGTGATCTCACTACTTTACAACTTGTATATTTATTTTAAAATTGTAATTTTCTATATTTCAAGTTTTTAACGTCATTCTATAAAAAAAATCTTTAACAGATGAACGAGTTCAAGTGTTGTCCGGGGATGGAGACAACACCGGAATTTGGAGAAGACGATTCCTCCATGAAATGTAAATCGGAATATGGTGGTCGGTCCAAAGATTTACCTAAACTACCAAAATCCACAAGAAAGTCAGCGTCGGAGAAAGGTTCTCCAACGAAAGAGAAATCCGACAAGACCAAACGTCGGAGTTCAAAAACGGCCACATCATCGTCTAGGAAAACTAAGGAGGGTGCTTTAGGACAGGACCAAGATTCTTCTCGGTCTCAACACAGTGTTGGATTACCTGAGATTCCAAAGAAATCAAAGAGGAAGAAATCTAAAGAGGGGTCTTCGAGATCGTCCAGAAGATCGGAAGCTGATAAAATGTCGGACTTTATGTCTGATACTGGCTCCGTTAGATCTATGTCTCAATTCGACGATGACAAAGTTTGAATTTTTGGGGGATTCACAACTGTAAAGCCAAAAAAATTAAAAAAGCGAGAGACTTTCATTTTTGTTATACTAGTAAGGAAATGTTACCGAAATTGTTGAAGATCATTACGCAGAATCTAATAATTACAACCAAAAATTACAACTTTCCCTCTAATCAAAAAGGTCAAAGCATAATAAATGTTAAAACTTTTTTTCCCTAATCTGTTCTCTGTTCTTCCACTCTCTGTTTTCACTATTTTATCAAAATGTAAAGAACCGTTGGAAAGCAAATCGACGCAAAAACTCTTGCCGCCGACGAAGAGAGAGCTGGTCCGGCGAGAGGAGGATCTGATTTTTTGGAGAAAAGGAGGTTTGGGTTCCCGCTCAATTTGAGCTTTTTCCCTATTCTGTCCTTGAAACTGTCGGAAAACGGAGCTTCTCCGGTGAGATTGTTGTTCTCAAGGTTGATTTCGCGAGCAAAGTCAAGAAGTCCAAACTCCTCGGGGATTTGACCGTCGAGATTGTTGTTGTCGAGCGCAAGATACCAGAGGTTTTTGGGACTCGACCCCATCGAAGCTGGAATATTCCCCTGTAGACCCATTCTCGAGAACCCAATTCCAGAAATACCCTCGAGATTCTTCCAAATTTCCGGTATTCGCCCTCCGAGCTGATTCCCACTCAGATAAACCTCTCTCAATTTGGGCATCTCCGATAGAAACAGAGGAACCCCATAGTTTCCGAAACGGTTGTAACTCAAATCCAAAAACTCGAGCTTTTTCAATTTCCCAATGCCGGAAGGGATCTCACCGGAGAACTCATTGAAGCTGAGGTCGAGCTTGAGAAGCTCCGTCAAATCGCCGATGGAATCAGGAGCATTTCCGTTAAGAAAATTATGGCTAAAGTCGAGAACTTTCAGGTTCTTCAGACGAGACCATCGAGAAGTCGCGTTCGTCGGAAAACCTCCGCTCAAACTGTTTCTAGACAGAGTGATCTCCTGTAAACTGACCAAATCAGAGATCCGACCCGGAATCGATCCGTGAAACCCGTTTCCGGTTAGAACCAATCTCCTCAGCTTGGTGAAATTACCGATCAAAACACTGACTTCGCTGACAAGAGAAGGGTTTTCGATGAACACAAGCTCTTCGAGAACCGAGCCGAAATCCTCCGGGATGGTTTCCGGCAACGAGACACGAGCTCCGGTGAAGCATTTGTAGAAGAAGAGCTTGCGAAGGTGTTTGAAAGAAGTGAAGAGGAGAGGATCGAGCGTAGAGTTTGAAGAGCAAGGAGGGTTTTGCGTGTAGTCAGAGACGTAGCCCAAGTGAAACTCGGTGACGTGGACAGACGTCGCGACACCGTTCGGGGAAGCGTATAAGAAATCGCAAACGACGCCGTCTGGTGGCGAGGCGCAGAGGTCGTCGGGGAAGATGGTTCGCCATGAGATCGCTGAGTTGACCGAGTCAAGTACTCGGTAAACCGCTTCTTGCTCCGATCGGTCTAGGGCGAGTTGAGGCGGCGCGTCTTCGTCGTCGTTTTGCTGGGTGACGATGAAAGAAGCAGAAAAGATGAAGAAGAGAAGAAAGAGGTTAAGATGAGAAGTCGCCATGAAAGCAGAGAAAGGAAGCTCTTTTTTTGTTTGTTTTTTGCAGCTTTTCTTGTTTGGATTTGGGTTTGTTGCTAACGAGCGATACGTACCTTTTTATGGGTTCATGCTTCGTAAAGTCTCTTTCGGTAAATTACATAACTACCCCTATTTGAAAACCGAGTATTGAACTATTGATGAAAGCTTTTTTACCCTATTATAAAGTTCAAGAAAGCTTTTACACTGGACTTTACTAGTACCTTTTTTTGCTTAGTTAAAGAATACGAGCATATACTTACTTGTGTACGTAATTTGCATTTCGTATTTACAATCATATTTGCTTTTATATATTTGATTTGTGGTAAAAACAAATAAAATGGGAAGGGTAGGATGGTAATAAAGAGGGAAGGGTACAAGCTTCACGTTCCGTGGGTAAAAAAACTTTAAAAAGTGAAGTAAAAAGCATGAGCGGAGGTTGTCGGGACCATACCAGACGAAAACTGCAGAGAAAGAGAGAGAAAGAAGACGACACCGTTTCGATTTCTAGGCACATACACCAAAACCATCCTAATTTATCTTCTTTTTTTTTTCTTGCTTTATCCTAAAATTTCAAAGATACCTTTTGTTTTTATAAAATCATACAGTTATCATTTCGATTTTTTTGTTCATTCGATACAATCCAGATTCGTAACTTTTTTATAAACATCATTATGAGTTATTGAGTTATGAGTCTTTTGACATTCCAATGTCACTTCTAATTTTAAAATTAAAATGAAAATGAAGGAACAAAATGGAACAAAAGCTGCATACATATCATTTACATCTTTTTTTTTGTTTACTTCACCCTCAAATCTCAAAGCTGACTTTTTTCTTAACAAAATATAACATATTATTATTCCACTAAATCCAATACGAAACTTGTATACAGAACATGAATAACAATATTAAAAATCAAAAAGAAAAAAAAAGAAGACAAAAGCTGAATCTAAGTAACAGAGACAGAAGAGGGGCAAACGGCGGAGGAGTAGACAAGGACGCGGCGTAGCCGCCGAATGGGAACAGTGTATGTGTCGTACGAAAGCGACGGCTAAAGGAGTTTCTCCAGTATTGTGGTGACACGTGTCAGCCTCATACTGGAAACGGCACGGTCTCACGCATGCCATTTCAGCATTTCTATTTCCGGTTCCTGCCCTCCACTGTCACCATTGTGCCAGAGTTTCAGACCGGTCTCATTAAATTTTTTTATTTGTTTCTTTATTATTAGCTGTCGCTGTTTAAATTCTTTGTACGAAACAAATTGTACAATGCCTTTTGCAGTTGTGCGTTGGTCCTCCTTGTTTTCCCATAAGCAATGAAACCAAATTAATGATTTTATTTATTTCCGATATTATATGTAACGTTTTGATACAACAATTGGATAATGCGTTTTTGACTTCTACGCACATATTTGAAAAGATAAAAGTTTCTCAAAGCTTGTTATAAAAATGAAAAGTAGTAATAAATAAAGATTTGTAGACAAAACTCAAAAGTACTGCTACTATTTGGTCATCAGGTTAAATTTGATGAAAGGAGAAAAAGAAGGAATTACATAAAGTTCTAAACATAGTATATAACAGTTTGAAAGTGTTAATGATAGCTATATTTTCATACGAGGTTTTGGAGAGTGATGTGAGAATGTAGAGTAACTCTTTTAGCAAAAAGCTTTATAAAAAAAAGAGGAGAATTAAAGAAAAAAAACAGCAAAAAAAAGGAGGAGAATTTAAAACGTATTTATGGTAGTGCGTAACTGTGTATTGTTGGACTTATATTGTTAGCCCAAACTTTATAATGGGCATTATAATATCTTAAGGCCTGTTTCTAAATTTGTGATAGCCTTGTTCTATATACGTGGAGAGTACATTTTTCGCGTCATTACTTTTTCTTTTTGTCTCATTTAACACTAGCGAACAAATATAGTCAGAATACAAAAAAGAAATTCGCCAAACAGAAGAATGATCTCATACAAAGTGAATAAAGTAAATAAAATTGGAGGCCCATATTTTGCTAAAAATATTAGCAACTTCATTAAAATCTCGTTTAACATGAGAGAAATTGCATTTACCAGATTTAGTTTGCCATAGCTTAATGTCATTGCATATACAATATTATCTACATCGAGCTCTTGTGTTGAGCACTTGAGTATGTTGTGATGCGTCCTGCAATCTCCTCCAAATATAATCGAGTGAAAAGCACTCAGAAATCTCATTACAACAACTAATAAATAACCATTGTTTACTAATATACTATATAGATATATCAAATTGTAGTCTTTAAAATAGGATGCATGAAAGACTCTAAAAAACTAATTATGTGAAACGAGAAAATATATATTTACTCTCAGAGTGCGGTCTATGGAAATGGTTGAGGTGTTCTTGGGGATACCGAAGCATTTATATCCCTCCACGAAAAGATATAGTTTTCTAAACCTTTTTTCGTTTTCTTTACGAATTTTTGGATTAATTTTTCATAGATCAAGATCATACAAATGTCTTTAATGCTTTCAGTGCCTTGCCCATCTTGGCTAGGACCGATTGTTGAATGTTGACCTAGATTATGTTAACTCTCCAAACTAAGTAATACACTGACCCAAAAAAAAAAGTGAAAAGAGGAAATTAATATATACAAAGAATCAAAAAGAAGAATTAAATAGAAAGTAATCCCTAATTTTGGGAGTAAAAACAAATACACAAAAGCACAGAAAGAGAAAAGAGACTTTCGAGAGTTGGTATAGTAAAAGGACTTGGAGAAATCAAAATCCTACTCAAAGACAAAGATCTATCTATCATATTTAATGTTGTTTCACAACAATGAACAATCTTATCGGGATGGGACCTACAAAAACAGAAAATAAATAAATAAGAAGTTCAAGACTTGTTGCTGCTTGTTTCCAACGACAGGTTTATAAAGACACGGCTAATTCTTCAAGCTCACGGATTTCTCAGTACGAAACCTAATCCAAATAATTACTCTATTCCTCTCTACAAGTTTCGATACGTGCAAGAAAGAGAGACAAACAATTACATGGAAGAAGATAGAAGAAGGAGAAGCAGAGGGCATCATCTGTTGAGATCGAAGAAGAGGCAAGGAGGCTATTATAACCATGGTTTCTCATCGTCTCAGATTCAATCTCTCGCCGTCATCTGTCAAACTCTCCTCCCTCCTCCTCCGCCGGTGACCACGACGGAGCAGCAAGCTCTCGATTCCTTCAACGTAGCCTCCCGTGCGCAACCACCATTCTCTGATGAGGTTCACTCTCTCTCTCTCTCTAGCTATCTATCCTCTGTTTTTCTATTGTTGAATTATTCGAATCTGGAAATTGTTAATCTTTTTGTTTTAGGTAGCGGAGATGATAGTGAAAAACGGACGATCACAAGCAGTGAAGATCTTGAGAATCATATTGACGATTCTATCATTCAGATTTGGAACTTTATTGCTTTGTGGCTCTCTCTGTCTTGATAAGGATTGGCCTTTTGTCCATAAATTCTCTGAACTTCCATTGGATAAAAGAGAAGAGGTCCTGAGGAAATGGTCGAGACAAAGTGGATTCCTTCTTCCGCTTCGAATCACTTTCTTCCTTACAAAATTCTACACTCTCTTCTACTTTTTCTCCCAGGTAAAACCAAAAACAAAAAAATTTAAAGTTCATTTGAAATAAAAAAAGAATAATGAATAGTAGTAATTTGTTTGTTTGTTCACAGACTGATGAGAATCTCAAGAATCCTGCATTGGAAGCGATAGGGTATAGCATAGCCACGACAGAGACAAGTAGCAACAAGACGAGGAAAGAAGAAGGAACACGACGACCTCTCGAGGCAGGGATCATTGAGACTAAGCACGAGACTGACATTACCATCACACAATCTCTAATCGAAAAAGGTGTTCATGTAGCTAGAGACGATGATAACGGTGTGCACAGGATCAGATGCGATGCGGTTATTGTAGGCTCAGGAAGCGGAGGAGGTGTAGCAGCTGCAAACCTTGCGAAAGCCGGATTAAAAGTATTGGTCCTAGAGAAAGGAAACTACTTTGCAGCTCAAGACTATTCAGCTCTTGAAGGTCCGTCTATGCAAGAGCTATACGAGAAAGGCGGGCTTATGACAACAGTTGACGGAAAATTCATGATCTTGGCCGGTTCAACTGTTGGAGGAGGTACAGCGGTTAACTGGTCAGCATCAATAAGAACACCGGATCATGTTCTGCAAGAATGGTCGGAAAGGAGCAAGATCGAGTTTTTCGGTAGCCAAGAATACCAATCTGCAATGGATGAAGTTACTAGAAGAATCGGAGTCACTGAAAGATGCGTGAAAGAAGGGTTTCAGAACCAAGTTCTGAGAGAAGGGTGCGAGAGACTCGGCTTGAAGGTAGTGTCGGTTCCAAGAAACTCACCGGAAGATCATTATTGCGGTTCTTGCGGGTATGGTTGTAGAGAAGGATACAAGAATGGGACAGACCGAACCTGGCTGGTTGATGCCGTAGAGAATGGTGCAGTGATCTTGACAGGAGTCAAAGCTGAGAGATTCATACTAGTTGAGAATACCAACAGTGGCAACGAGAGAAAGAAACGGTGCGTGGGAGTGATCGCGAGCTCTGTTGGAGGAAAGATGGAGAAGAAGTTCATGATCGAAGCTCGAGTGACGGTTTCATCGGCTGGTTCGCTGTTGACACCGCCTCTGATGCTTTCGAGTGGGCTAGAGAACCGGAACATTGGGAGGAACCTAAGGCTGCACCCGGTTCTAATGACATGGGGATACTTCCCGGAGGAAAGTTCAGAGTTCTCGGGGAAAATGTACGAAGGAGGGATCATCACGTCCGTCCATCATATAAACGATGGTGAAAAGGGTTGCAGAGCGATACTTGAGAATCCATTGATAGGACCAGCTTCGTTTGCAGGGTTAAGCCCGTGGGTTTCAGGAGCAGACCTTGAGGAGAGGATGATGAAGTACGGAAGGACAGCTCATGTGTTTGCTTTGGTTCGGGACAATGGCTCAGGGGAAGTTATGAAAGAAAGCGAGGTTAGATACAGGACGAGCAAGAAAGATAAGGAGAATCTGAGGGTAGGGATACGACAAGCTTTGAGGGTTTTGGTTGCAGCAGGTGCAGTTGAAATCGGAACATATAGGTAAACGCCACTGAACCTTACACAAAAGGGATCAACAAAAAGAAAACAAATAAGTAATGAATGAATTTCATTTACAGGAGCGATGGACAGAGGATGAAGTGTGAGGGAGTTACAAGAGAAGCAGTGGAAGAGTTTCTAGATAGAGTTGATGCTGATGGTGGAGTAAGCACGAATAGAGAGTACTGGACTACTTACTTCTCTGCACACCAGATGGGGAGTTGCAGGATGGGACACACGGAGGAGGAAGGAGCGGTGGATGAGAACGGAGAGAGCTGGGAAGCAGAAGGATTGTTTGTCTGCGATGGAAGTGTGTTGCCTTCTGCTGTTGGTGTAAACCCAATGATCACCATTCAATCTGCTGCTTACTGCATCTCCAAAAGGATAGTTGACTCTCTGCAAAGGCAAAAAAACAAGGAAAGATTATAGAGAAACAGAAGTGAAAAACCATCCCGGTTCTTGAAAGATTTTCAGATTCTGATTTGTATTCATGTGTTGAATAAAGGAACTAAGTGTTTCTTGCAAGAAAGATTCTTTTAAGAATCATATATGATGAGAACTCATTTGTTGGACATCTGTTTTGCAATGAAACCAGATCAGTTCCAAAAGAATTACAAATGTTCGAGATTTATAAGAACACTTTGACAAAGATGGCCAAAAAAAAGACATGGGTCTCTCACTTTGCTCCCTATCCGTGATTTGAGCATATCTCAAGTTTCATTACCCTAACTAGATAATGTATTAACCGTTTTTTGAGCGGCATCATCAGATGCCATTCCGTACAGAAGACCCAAAAAGAAAGAAAAAAAAATATAGTTAAGCCCTTCAGATTCTCAATGCACCAAATTTCGGTTTAAGAGCACATAAAAATAGGAAATGTAAAATTTTCGATATGATGAAAGGGGACCTGATATGATACTCGTGGATGTTAGAGACGACGGAGCTATTGCTGTTGCCATTTCCCGGCGACGGAGAGAGATCTACCAACAAGCTAATCCTAATCGTCTGGGCCTGGCCTTTTATATTTTTTCTTCTCAAGCCCAAACCCAACAGCTTTGTATTTGTTCATCCGATAATTAAGTAACCGTCCTCCTTTTTTTTTTATATCCTATGATTTCCTTTTTGTACGCCTTTTTTTTTTAACCTTGTGATTCTCCTTCTCTTAAAATCAAATCAAAGGATACGTTCCATTTATTTCCTATATGACAAAATCTGGAAGATATAGCTTACTTTTATGAAACTGGAAAATATATAGATTTCCTTCTTAATATACAAACGGGTGTACATATATAAACAATTGTCTAGATGAAGAATGACAAACCATAACCTAAATTTTTTTCTTTTGTTACAGGCATTCATCATCGATCAAAAAAAAGATTGAACACAGCTTTTGTATTGTAAAAAGCAAGCAACATGGATACTACTAACTATATCATAACCGGTGTCGTTGTCTTCATCATCCTCATATTGGCTGTTTTATCGTGCTGGAACGAAAAGATTAGAGAATTTTTTTGGGTCCGTTACGAATGTTGTCCCAATTGTTGTGTGTGTGTGTGACTTGACTACTTCGGTGGATCAAGGTTATTGAAAACCATTGTTTCAGAGTTACCGAAACAATGGTTTTAAAGATTCAAGTCTAGCTATCTATTGAGTTTTGTATCAGTTTTTTTTTCCATTCAATGCAATGATTATATAATTTAATGCTATTATGATTACTGAAATAATATATTGATTTTTTTTTTATGTCTTTCTTAAAATCAAAGTAGAACCCTAATTGAAAAGATCGATAATATAAGTTCACAAAATGAACTTGACTTTTTATATTCTTTGTCGAATATTTGAGCTCTTGAGAAGTAATATCTTGATGAATATAACAAAGACTATCCGAAACAGAAATATAGACATCAAAAATCATTACTTGAGGGAATTATATATTTTGCATTGAACTACAATGTTATAGCAATCAAATATGTATGAAGCTTTTGTTGATATTTATAATCCCTCTAAGATACAATGACAACTTTTGTTACCCAATAACAAATTCATCAATTTCGTGTCAAAATATATATATTTCATCCAAATCAACAAAAAAAACTCTTGAGTACTACCAGTTCGCCAGCTATGTCCGAGACTTTAACCTCTCTATTAATAAACCCTAATAACATAAAGTTGAAAGTAAGATCCGTTCCCGGCCGTTACAAACTAACAGAACGTGGTTAGGATCAACGAAGGTCTCTTTTGCTTTATAGTAGAAATGCACAACCATTTGGACAATATCCACTAGCTGTGCGATAGTCTGCATCAAGTTCAACACTACATGATGATCCACTGGCTCATATACATACTGCAAAATAATTGTCCGTAATAGTAGGTGTGATGATGAGTAGGGCTGGACACGAGGTGATTGCCTAAGTGAAAATGCAATTCTTTCGTGATTTCTAAATATTGTTTTTTATTCAATGCGAAACTGAAAAATTATTTATTCCTTAGTTCCGATTTAATGAGGTTATAGACCATTCAGATATCGTCCACAAATTCGTTTGTGGTTAGTATTTAGTACTTAGTACCGACACCAACATATATGATGATGCACCACAATCATTATATGTACTCATGCATTTAATCAGTGTCCTCTGCCGACAAAAATAAATTATTTCATGTGCGCTATAGTGCATTAGTGTGTGTGTGTGTGTGAGTGTATATAAATCAAGTTTCTTCAACACTCAAAGAAACCATCAGAAAATATAGTGTGTCCTTACAATCAAATTAACCTTCTATGATGGCTTCAATAAGCTTACTTGATGCTTCCATAGCCATCCTTTGCTTTCTCATCTTCCATTTCTTGCTATTCAAGAAACCTCACGACCGTTTCCTTAGAAACTGGCCGGTTCTCGGGATGCTTCCTGGTTTACTCATGGTCCTCCATCGCATCCACGACTTCAGCGTGGAAGTTCTCGAAAACACCGACTTAACATTTCCATTCAAGGGACCGTGGTTCACTGGAATGGATGTATTAGTCACAGTTGATCCAGCTAATATTCATTATATGTTGAGCTCAAACTTCTCCAATTACACCAAAGGAGCCGATGCCAAAGAAGTCCTTGATGTTTTCGGAGAAATGATCTTTAGTTCGGAGGGTGAGTTATGGAAGATTCAAAGAAAAGCTGCTCAATCAATGCTTACCAATCAATGGTTTCGAAAGCTCTCAGTGAGTGCGACGAGAAGTAAACTCGACGAGGCTCTTGTTCCTCTTTTCAATCATTTTTTTAGAGAAGGAGATGGTCGTTGATTTGCAAGATGTTTTTCAAAGATTCACTTTTGATACAACTTTTGTTCTTGTAACCGGGTTTGATCCCAAATCTCTCTCTGTTGAAATGCCGGAAGTTGAGTATGCTAATGCTCTTGACGATCTTGGAGATGGCATTTTGTATAGGCATATTAAACCGAAGTTCTTGTGGAAGCTGCAAAACCGGATTGGGTTTGGACAAGAGAAGAGGATGATCGAAGCTGATGCCACTTTTGATCGCATATCTGCAAAATATATATCAGCTAAGAGAAAAGAAGTAAGATCATCAAAAGGCATTGATCATCATCAACTAAATGGTGAAAGTGAGGATCTTTTGACATCTCAAATAAAGCTTGATCCAACCAAGTACGAGAGCTCTTGAACCCAAGTGATGATAAATTCCTCAGAGACCGGCATCTTGGCTTTCAATATAGCTGGGAGAGAGACAGTGGCATCCGCTCTCACTTGGTTCTTTTGGCTTTTATCTGAGAACCCTCGAGTGGTAACCAAGATTCGCCAAGAGATAATTAGCAAAACTATTCCCGAAAGAAATGGCGAAGAGAACTTAGACAAGTTGGTGTATTTACAAGGCGCGTTGTATGAATCAATGAGGCTGTATCCACCAGTTCCCTTCCAACGCAAGTCACCTATAAAACCAGACTTGCTTCCAAGTGGGCATAAAGTAGATGCAAACTCAACGATCATGATTTTTCTTTACGCGTTGGGGAGGATGAGAGCGGTTTGGGGAGAATACGCATTAGAGTTTAAGCCAGAGAGATGGATTTCACAGACTGGATCGTTGAGAGATGAACCTTCCTTCAAGTTCTTATCGTTTAATGCCGGTCCAAGAACTTGTCCTGGTAAGCATTTGGCTATGACTATAATGAAGAAAGTGGCCGTAGAGATATTACAAAACTATGATATTGAGGTTATCAAAGGACAGAAGATAGAGCCAGATCCTGGTTTTATATTGTACATGAAGCATGGGCTTCAAGTCACAATAACTAAGAGATGTTCACCTTGAATTTGATATGTAGTGCCTTGATTAATCCTTTCTCCGTTGTATAATAATCTATCACAAAATGGTGGTCTGAAGTATAATTATCACAAAAGCCTTCTTATATATCAATAATAATGGAATCATGCATACTTGCATAGTTTTTATATTGATGAAATATTATCTATTTTTAAAAAAGTACAAGAAATCTTGCTGAATGTTTCACTTAGCTAGTATTTATCACCTAAAGAGAATTGTCAGCAGATGGTTTTTGCATAACAAAAAGAGGAAATGTAAAAATCCGATTATGAAGAAAAGAACCTGAGACGATACTCATGTGGATATTGAGACGACGGAGCTGTTGCTTGATGCCATTTCCCGGCGACTGAGAGAGATCTACCGACAAGCTTGTCCTAGACTAATCTGGGTCTAGCCCATTACCTTCTTTCTCAAGTCCAAACCCAACAGTCCTCTGTTTTGAATACTATGATTCTCCCTTTTTCTAAAAGAAAAAAAAAACCCTTAAAATTTCGTATAAATGGAAATACTGTGTAGCCTTATAAATGGAACATAATATTTTTTGAATGTATTACTCTTAAAATCAAAGGATATGTTTTTTATTTTATTTTTTGTAAAAAAAATCAAAGGATATGTTTCCATTTTGTTTCCTGTATGACAAACGGGTGTAAGCATATAATATATGCAGTTGTAAACTGTGCAAGGCTCTGAGCAAGAAAAAAATATACAGTTTATGAAACTGGATAATATGTAGATTTCTTTCTTAATATACATAACGGGTGTATATATATATATATATACAATTGTCTAGACGAAGAAAGACAACCTAAAGTTTTTTACATTTCTTTTCTTTGTTAAAGGCATTCATTGATCAAACAACTTTTTGTGTTGTAAGGAGCAAAACATGCTTACTGAAGGTTATATCATAGCCATCGTCGTTGCCTTAAGCATCCTCACGTTGGGCATTCTATCGTGCTGGCACAAAGAGATTCGAAATTGGTGTGCGGCGTGTGTCCCAAATGAGTAAGGCTGTGTGTGACTTGACTATTTCGGTGGATCAAGCGTATTCAATATTTTATTTTTCTAGGTTTTATTTTTCTATGACTATTAAATTTTGATGGTATTATGATTACTGAAATAATATCTTTAATTTTTTTTTCTTTCTTAAGATCAAAGTATAGTACCCTAACTGAAAAGAAGAATAATATGAGATCACAAAATGAACTAAGCTTTTTATATTTTTATATTATAATACAACAAACACAGTCCGAAACAGAAGTATAGACATCATAAATCATTACTTGTATTGCATAGACTTACAAAATTATTACAATCAAATATGTCAGTAACACAATTATTACAAAAAATTATTACAAATAAGGCTGAGGTAAAAAAATGATAAAAAATTATTACAAAAAAAAAAAATTATTACAAATAAGGCTGAGGTAATCGCACAAGCACGATTCTCCGGAAGATTTACGATATAAACATCCACTTAGCCAAGGGAAGAGTTAAAGCTCTTAGACGGTTTTGGTCTTACTCGTTGGCAAGTTTTAGGTCTCTAATAATATGTAGGATTTATATAAATCCATGCGTTATGGAAAAAAACCCTAAAGCCCTTTTTGAATCCCTGCTATTCTCCTTATCAAAGATCCTTTTGTCTTTATCCTAATGAAAAAATTAAAATATTGAACGCCGGTAATTAACTAATTATGAACACAATAACAATGGCATTAACGAATCCTATTGGGATAGTAAGGTTTAGATATGAGTAAATATTGGAATAGATAACTTCAAAGAATACGATCAACTTATGTGTATAAAAATTACATTGTACAATTCATCGTTTGTTAACAAGACAGCATACCCACAAACACTTGTTTCCGATTTACAAATAATTTCTTCCGTTTTGTCGTCTAGACGAAGTGGTAAGCGTTCATGAGAATTATCATCTTGAATATATAAAAAAAAATATGTCCACGGCTTTTGATGATTTAAGCACTCTATAAACAGAGATACCAAATTGGTAATACAATTCAACAAAACATGTTACTTCTATTCCAAAATCCATACTTCATCACCAGCTATTTCCATAAGCCCTCTTCCCTCTCGATTTCAAAACAACAAACATAACTCCTATTTGACCTCTTTTTTTTTTACTTCTTCTTCTTCTGAGCATAACAAATGTTACATCTCAACATCCTTTCCTACACACTGACCTTTGAGTTAACTACTCGTTCCCATTGCAAACTAACAATACGGGGTTACATTAGCCTTGTCGATCCACGAAGGTCTCTTTGCTTTATAGTAGAAATGCGCAATCATTTGAACCAATTCATCCGCCGTGCGATAATCTGCATCAAGTTCAACACTGTCAGATAGATGATGATTCATCGTTCAAATATATATTGCAAAATTATAAAACAAACAGCATTAATTTAGAGCATCGAATCATATCACCTTTCTCCCTGTATAAAATCCGGTTTCCCCGTAGAAAGAGAATCTGTGGGCATTCCTTAGCTTTAAGAGCATATGCCAAATCTGTCTCGATGTTCAGATCAATCTTAACCGCCTGACTCATCAAAAAAATGGTAAACTTTGTTAGCAACGAGACCAGAGTTCTTTGGACACAGAAAGTACCGTAACGTGCAAGTCATAGAGATAAAAATGCAAACTAAACAATGGGTTTCTGGCTAACCCGTGGAGGTAATCGATCTTTCGCATCCCAATAAACTTTGATTGCTTTCTCAAGCTCCTTCAATGTCTTCCAGTTATCACTAGCCCTGTAAACGCCAAGCAATTCTAATTGATCATTCCAACGCTACTAGATTTTGTGGTCACTCTACTGAGACTTTGAACAAACAACCAAAGTTCAGCTATGGGGACATGTTTTTGGTCTCCATAGAAGTTTGATGATCATGGACTCTGATTCTAAAGGCTAATTCCTCTGTTTGGATAGTTTTCTCATATGCACACAAGGTGTTTGTGAAAACTCGTCAGTGAAAAAACAGAGCTTTTACCTTTTGTATCGCTCGAAGACGAGGACGACGAGGGGGCTAGGATGAAAGGCAAAGCTTTCCCACTCCAAACAATTGATCTCTTTGACCCAATTGTCATCAATCTCTCCTTCCCAGTCGATCTCAGCACCGTCTTCTCCGACCACGTTTTTGATCGGATGTGTGTCGAAGTACTCGGAAGCTTTGATTCCCCACCCAACATCTGTATCTACTGGCCAATCTGGGTCTTCCTCTTCCACCACCATCTCTTCTTCTTCTTCAATTTCGTCTTCGTCGTCGTTTTCCCCGGCTCTGTCCTTGATGAAATTCGCCTTCTCCTTGTTCTCGAAAACCTCCGGATTCTGCTCCCGTATGGTGGAGAAAGTGCGCTCGAGGGAGCTTCTCACGAAATCCTCCACAGCTTCGGCTTCGCTCCTCCGCCCGCGCTTCGATTTCCGCCGGATCTTCGTTGGAAACTCGGCTTCGCCACTTCGCGTGGCTTCCTTCTTTTGGTTTTTGGGTTTTTCATCGGATTCAGGGTCGGGTACGGCACCAGACGAAACAGCAGCAAGGCATACCGGAGGTTTCAAGCTCCGGGAGGATATATTCGCCGGAAAAACCGATAGTGAAATGCGACACACATCGGAGGAGCTCGAATTTAAGCTGATGAGAGGCATCGAATATCTTGGCGCAACGCAAGCTACAGCTGGGAAACTCATTTCTCTCTGTTTTGGCAACAAAAATTTCAAACGAAAATTCGCAGGAGAAAATCTCGTGATTTGTGGGTTGTTGATCTACAAGGAGCACGAGACGACGCTCATGAAATGACGTCGTTTCGACTCTGTAATGTAGTGGATAATATGTAATTGTCCCAAATCTAAACCGAAGTAATACAAACCGGGATAATAAACTGTATACCGGAAACATTTTTAAAAAATGGCAACATACAATAAGACGTTTTTTGATCGTGTTAGATTTTCAATTTTATGAACAATAAGTATTTCTATAATTCATATGTCAATCACAAAATTATACAACTTAATTAAGGAAATAAGACCCGAAAATTAATGTAAAGTTTGCATTATATGCGTGACCGATCAAGGCTCAAACATGTAAACTTAACAATAACAGACATTTAGTGTCCGCATTCGAAAATGTATACTTAACAATAACATTATACACCAGTGTCTATATATATGTATATATATTAATTTGTGTGCAAGAAGAAACAGAGACGATTATTCTAAGAATAATCCGGTGACGATACGAAGGCGATATGGAGAAGATTGTTTTTGGAGTTGTTGTCTTGTGCTCGCTGGTTTTTGTCGTGGCTGTTCTTAAACTATCAGGTTACCTTTGGAAAAAATGGCGTAATTACCATAAGAGTGATGGATTAAAATGAGGTTCGTCGATTATCTTCTTTCCTTTTCATTTCTTGTTTCGAACAACTTCAAAGAGGATTACTAACTTTTGGTATCATGACAGTTTTGATGACGTAGTGACCGGTTAGTTAGTGAACGAGGGAGAGGTGCAACTGCTCAGAACCGTATAAACTAAAAGAACAGCTTCTTTTCTACAAATTTTAGTGTTCTTAACTAAAACATTGTTTGTTTAAGAGAAATAAAAAATGCTTGTTGTTTTTGAATATTTTGTTTCTTAACCCAAATCTCTTAAAATTGTTGTACGTCTTATATATAAAAGCCTGGCATGTTATTATTACAAATTCACGATATTAAAGATTGAATAGAAATATGAGCTTCTGGAAGTTAATTTTTTTTCTATTTCACGAAATCGCAAATTAAGGTAGCTTCCTTTTAAAAATATTTACTCAATCAGTCAATCTCTATCCTTATAATATCTTTATATATTAGCACCTAATATAATACGAATGATGTCATGTAAAAAAAAATATAATACGAATGATGTCACCATCAAGAAGAACATTTCCTGGCTTCAAGCCTCTGTGAATGATTCTTGGGGGTTATGGCCCATGTGAAGGTACTCAAGCCCTGCAGCTATACTTATAGCAATCTTGTGCCTTGCTGGCCACATTAGCTCTTTGGTTCCAGCGGACACGTCTGTCATAAACAAGGAAGCGGCATTCAGGTCTCGGCACGTGTGCTAACAAATGTAGAAGATTCCGGTAACGGATTTGGCCGACTGTGTTGATCTCTGATCTGATTTGCCTCATTTTCTTGTTCAGAAACTTGGAATCTTCGTCTGCAAGTTCAGTGGCGTCTTTAGCTGGTTGGATAACTTTCTTAACGGCGATGATCTTCTCATCGCTTCCGGGTAGTTCCGCTTTAAAAACCTCTCCACAACCTTCTCTTCCAATGATTTCCAGAGAAGCTAGTGCTTCCTTGTTCTCCAAGAACGCTAAATCTTTAGCTCTCTTGATCAATGGGCTGAATATGTAAGGACTTGATGGTTTATCTGATCCTCTTATTGCTCGAAGGTATATATATAGATATGTACAATCCTTGTGTCTTATCTCATTTCGGTTATATTTTATTTATGTTTTTCTTATATTTTGTTTGTATTTTGCTTAATTATATTTTTAATTATATTTTTCTTGTATTTTGCTTAATATTATTCTAATATCAAGAGATGTTAAGTAATGATTACGAGCAACACTAACACGAGAGAGTATATTGTTCCAATGTGTAACATACGGGACCAATAGCTATTGATGTGTAACATACGGGACCAATAGCTATTGTAAGACGAAGACTGTTGTTAGACCTTTAAGAAAAAAAAACAACACCAATACGAGAGAAATAAGTTGACTCCACAACAGCAAACTTTAATCGAAATCACTTTATAGAGAGCTATATAAAGCCACTAACTCGATGTCAGAATATTCAAGACCAGTGATCTGAGACATCGTTTTTGCATCGATATGCAATCTCACACCAACACATCCTAAATCAAGAAGCCAAGAAGAAAATTTGGACATCATTTGCTCATCCTATTTCAACACATCCTAAAAGGAAAAAGTGTGACTTACTATAATCTGGACATCATTTGCTCAGATTTCTTAAGACCAGACCCAATTTTTGAAATGTTTGTTCTCATCTCGGTTACCTACATTTGAAGCAAGAATCCTTGTGAACATTAATTAGCATATTAAAAGTATATCAAAGAAAGCCAGTGATGGAGGTAATCGCACAAACAAGAATCGTGTACTTTAAAAGAAAGTAAAAGAGCTGGCTAAACCTAGCTATATTGTGTTTCGTAACAAAATCCCCAGCAAGAAATCTACTGTACATACGAAGAAAAAGTTCGGGGCCAAAGAGATTAGACAATTTCTGAAACGTGCTTCTAGTCCTTATATGTATCATTATCCTAATCTGAAGTCTAGGAAAGTGAGAAATAAAATAGAATAATATAATTCCTTACACCACTTTTAATCTGCTCTGCCACCTTCATCTGCACTTCCACCTTCGGACTCAACTAACTGCCTAAGCAAATACACATAAGTCAAAAGCCACAAGGATATAAAATATCCAATAAGCAAGGAATGTTTCGAACAATACAAAGAAAGTGAGGAAGTTTCAGGCATCAATACAAGAAAGTGAGAAATAGTAGGATGGTTTCTTACATCACTTATAATCTGCTCTTCCACCTTCCGACTCAAGGCCTTTAACTGCGTTAGCATATATACTAAGTTACAAGCCACAAGGAATTACAATATCCAATTTTCTCCGGAAGATTTACGATATAGATATCCACTTATCCAAGGCTCGAGTTAAAGCTATTAGACGGTTTTGGTCTTACTCGTTGGCAAGTTTTAGGTATTTAACAATATGTAGGATTTATATAAATCCATGCACGCCTTATGAAAAAAAAAACCTTAAAGCCCTTTTTGAATCCTTGATATGCATGATTCTCCTTATAAAAACTCTTCACACATTACCTTCTTCAAATGACAAAAACGTACAAGATTCAAAATACATTTCAAAATTCGAACAAAAACTCTAATTATAATACGAGTACTGATGTGTGATTTTTTTTTTCCTTGTTGCCATTTCAAATTTTCTGTGCTCCAATGCTCCATCATTTATTCGTATTTAATATTTTGGTGACCACTAATAAATAGGTAAAAAAATGTTGAAATAGTTAATGAAAACCAAATACGTGGGACCCGTAGAAGACATTTTCAACACGCGGAAATTAGAAAAAATTAAAGATAGAAAAAAATGAAAAAGGGATAAAAATAAAAAGGTAATAAATGTCTTTGAGTTTCTGATTTTAACTAACACCTCTCTCATCTCGTGTTCCAAGCTTCGAAAATTCCATCTGCTGTTTTTATTCGCCTGCACTATTCTTCTTCACGCCGTCTCAATTTCACAATTATTATTATTATTTTTTAAATATAAATTTTTTAGTTTTTGGGTATTACTGAAGAAACACCAAACAAAGAGGCAAAAACTCACTCACATCAATGCAGAAAGCGACAAAGGAAAAGGCGGAGAGAAAGTAAAAGGGTAGAAAAAGAAGAAGAAGAAGAAGAAAGATCAGATTTTTTTTTTTTTTAATTTCGTGGATTGTTTGCTTTGCTTGATTGCTTCGAATCGGAATAAGTCTGAAGAATTTCGAGGCGACCATGGCTGACGGCTTCTTTATTTTCTCAGATTCCTCTTCTTCTTTCCCGGAAAATCAAAGGTGTGTTCTTTTTTCTTATCTCTCTCTCTTTCTCCTCATTTGTTTCTTGATCGTCCTTATTGATTCAAGTGGATATGCGGTTCGATCTAATTTAGGGTTTTTACTGTCAATGTTTATCCCAATTTCGTTCTAAAATTCCGAGCTTTTTGATACTGAACTGAGTTAGAACCCCTTAAAGTCCTCGATTTTCTCGTAAGATTCGCTTTTTCTTTTTCTAGGGGGTGAGTTTTAGTTTAATGCTGAAATTGTGACTGTCTTTCATCGAAAATCGTTCTTTACATTGTTCAAGGATTTTATTTTTTAGGAATTGGATCATTAACATTTCGAAATTCTCAAGATTTTGATCATAAAGTTGTGATTTTGTCAATGGCAGTAAATACTGATTCATCTCGCATTAACGTGAATGATTATTTCCTGTTTCTGTGTTACGTTTTATCTCGAGATCTCCTTGAAGATTCTAATATGTGTTCTAACTTATGGTTTTGGTGCAACTTTGAAGATCATCAAACCTTTTGAGAAGCTATGAAGAAAAGCGAGATTAGGCCCGGGAAGTTGCATTTACCTAGATTAAGACAAAGTTTACGGAAGATCAGAATGAAGTGTTTGTGTTCTGGTGAACAAATGAGACTGAGGGAGGAAGAAGACAAGCAATCCGAGAATGGAGTAGGCAGAGACTACAATGTAAGCTCAGCTTTATCAGCTGCGGAGAGCGAGAATGCCAAGAAACTAGATAATGGGAACATCGAGGAAGCCGAGTTGTCTCTGCGTGAGACAAGTTCACTAAACTACGAGGTTCGATCTCTCGATTCCTCCATTATCTTTTTGCTCAAATGAAGAAAAAGCCAGAGTCATTGTGTTGTTGTTGTTGTTGTTTCAGGAGGCGAGAGCACTCTTGGGAAGAATTGAGTATCAGAAAGGAAACATAGAGGCGGCATTGCGAGTCTTTGAAGGGATAGATATCAATGGGATCACGATAAAGATGAAAACCGCTCTAACCACTAGAGAAGAGAAAAAACATAGAAGACGGTCTAAAGTCGGACTTGGTGCTGCTCCTCCTCCTCCTCCAATGTCTAAACATGCTATTAGTCTCCTTTTCGAAGCCATTTTTCTCAAAGCGAAATCTCTCCAGCGTCTTGGAAGGTTCCAAGGTAGTAACAGCCTCTTCTTTTCTTTTCATCTCGTACTTCTTTTCTTGTTCTTGGCTAAACAGAATTCTTCTTGCAGAAGCTGCGCAGTCTTGCAGAGTTATTCTCGACATTGTCGAGGCTTCTTTGTCGGAAAACGTGAATGGTGATATCAAGTTGCAGGAGACGCTAATGAAAGCAGTCGAGCTGCTTCCTCAGCTGTGGAAACTCGCTGATTCGCCGCGTGAAGCTATCTTGTCGTATAGACGAGCGCTTCTCAATCACTGGCAACTCGATCCTGAAACCACGGCGAGAATACAGAAAGAGTACGCCGTATTTCTTCTCTACTCCGGGGAAGAAGCAGTGCCGCCAAACCTTCGTTCTCAGACGGAAGGCTCTTTCATTCCGAGGAGCAACGTGGAGGAGGCTATTCTTCTTCTGATGTTACTTCTCAGGAAAGTTAACGACAAGAGAATCTCGTGGGACGCGTCAATCTTGGACCATCTCTCGTTCGCTCTCACAATCGCAGGCGATCTTACCGCTCTTGCTAAGCAACTCGAAGAGCTTAGCCCCGAGATATTGGACCAGAGGGAGCTTTATCATACGTTGTCTCTGTGTTACCATGGTGCAGGGGAAGGTCTTGTCGCGCTCGGTTTACTTAGGAAGCTGTTTTCAGAACGGGAGGATCCAAACCGGACTTCCGGTTTGCTGATGGCTTCCAAGATATGTGGTGAGAGAACTGGTCTCGCTGAGGAAGGCTTAGATTACGCTCGGAGAGCGATTGGAAACTTGGGGAAGGAATGCGTTCAGCTAGACGGTGCGTCGCGTTTCGTTTTAGGCGTTACGCTCACGGAAAGCTCGAGAACAGCGGCTACAGAGACCGAGAGGTTAGCTAGGCAATCTGAGGGGATTCAGGTTCTTGAATCTGCGGATATGACTGACCCGAGAGTCCTGCACCGTCTTGCGTTAGAGAATGCAGAGCAGAGGAAGCTGGATTCGGCTTTGGCTTACGCTAAACGAGCTTTGAAACTTGGAGCTGAGTCGGATCTTGAAGTGTGGTTGCTTCTGGCTCGGGTTTTATCTGCGCAGAAGCGGTTTGCAGACGCGGAGACGATCGTGGACGCAGCACTTAACGAGACAGGGAAATGGGAACAGGGGAAGCTGTTGCGTTTGAAGGCAAAGCTTCGTTTGGCTAAAGGAGAAGTTAAGGATGCAATTCAGACTTACACGCAGCTTCTCGCGCTCCTTCAGGTTCAGAGCAAAAGCTTCAGTTCTGCAAAGAAGATGCCAAAGGTAACTTTTTTCGTATGTTCTGACTTTCCAATTGAGAAGAGTTAAAACCCTGAAACAGACTTGTTCATTACAGGGATGTGTAGAGGGACTGAGGAGTCTGGAGATTGGGACGTGGCATGATCTGGCTCATATCTACATAAACCTCTCGCAATGGCGTGACGCAGAGACATGTCTCTCGAGATCAAGACTCATCGCGCCTTACTCTCCTGATCGATACCACACTGAAGGTATTGCCCTTCTTCTTCTTCTTCTTTGTCTTCTTCCAAGTTAGATTTTGTCATGATAGCTTGTATATACTACTTGGTAGGTGTACTGAACAAGAGACAAGGCTTATTAGAAGAAGCCGTGGAGGCGTTTACAACCGCTCTAGACATCGATCCAATGCACGTCCCGAGCCTAATATCGATGGCTGAGATTCTACTTGAGCTCGGGAACCGATCAAGCATAGCAGTTGTGAGAAGCTTTCTCATGGAGGCTCTTAGGCTTGATAGGCTGAACCAGTCGGCTTGGTTCAATCTTGGGAAGATGTATAAAGCTGAAGGATCCGTCTCGTCGATGCATGAAGCCGTTGAGTGTTTTCAAGCCGCCGTTACACTGGAGGAAACAATGCCCGTGGAGCCATTCAGATGATTTTTCCCTCGAATCATTTTTTCTTTTTTTGTTTTGTTTTGGTCATGATTTTGATATATTCTTTTGTGTTTGATTTCGATAGATGAATATAAGATACAGTATAAAGATGTATGTGTGGTACCTCATTTGATGTGAAGTTTATAAACATTTGTAATACACAGTTACAGAAAAATTAAAATAGGTTTTGGTCAAGTAATTTTGTACGCAAGATAAAAAGATTCACAAGAGTTTTATGGGGAAAATAACTCTGGGTTTAATATTCTAAAAATATTAAAACATAGAATCTGGAGTCAACTAATGATGAGTTAAAGCATTTAGATTACATTCGAATGATGAAGATTCTCCCAAACTAAACTCTTTATTTTTTGTTGTTGTTGGTTTCTTCCTTGGGGATCTGTTGTTTTGTCTACACAGCATAGTTGAGAGAGTCTTCCATCAGAAAAATAGTTAAACAGTAGAGAGCGAGAAATCCTGAAGAACCTCAAGATAAGAGAGCTGCCTTTCTCTCTCTCTCTCTCACTGTTAAACTCTGGAACACCGAAATGATCCACCAAAACACTATTTCTTAGCAGAGAGATTCTTTCAATTATCGGTTTTGGGGCGTTTTGGCTGCGGAGATTCTGTCTCTTGGCCTTTCCTGGTTTTCTCTAGTGCGGGCTCCTCTGAATCAGCGGTTTTCTTGTCTACTTGTTCGGATTCGGGTGGAGAATCTGATGTGGAGGCTGTCCCTTTGCCGAGACCCGAGTTTTGTTTCTCGAACATCATTTGCAAGTACTTGCCTTGTTCTTCTATCCGGAGTTGCAGGTTTCTTTGTATCTGCAGGGACAAGGAAAGAAAAACATTTTCATCCAAACTCATAATCTTTAGAGTCACATTTCACCTTTTCACCATTTGCAGCTTCATGAATACAAAGCTCACTCACAGGCATAAAAAGCAAAGCTATAGGCAACGACATTATGCATAATATAAGATATACCTCGAGCTGCTCATGGAGTTGCTTCTGTACTTCCATCTGAAGTCGCAGAGCTTCGGTGATACCTATCCCACTGTAGTATAAATATGATCAGCAAATATTTGATAAGGCGAGTATCCGTTAAGACTTGTGATGTTACTAGACAAAAGAAAACCTTACCCTTTCAAGTCAAGAGATGTTATATGTTCGAGCGGTGTCAACTTCTTCTCTGGCGAACCTGTACACTCAAAAGAAATTGATTTCAAAACTGAATTGTATGGAATTTTCAGGAAAAAGTCATCAAGGAAATAAAGATACGAAAAGACTTCTGTATTTACCACATTCTGATGGTTCTGGCCTATATCTAGCCGTCCTATATTTCTGCAGATACCATCTTCTATTAGAAAACATAGAATGAAACAAATGGAGGGAGGAAAAGATTGAATAACAAGAACCTGCAAATGGCTTTTGACATGATATATAGTCAAGCCTTCAACTTTCATAATCTTGAGCACACCTTTTGGAGTAGCTCCTGCGTAAGATAAGAACAATATGAGTTAACCAAAAGAAAGAGTTATCATCTTTTCTATATGCCATCCAAAGTTTCTGGAAAAAGAAGAGGAACAATGCTCACTTTCACTGCCACCAAGACTATTGACAGCCTCAACAAAAGCCTCATGCAGCTCTGGCGTCCAACGCATACGTGCCTTGCCCGCTCCGTTATTACTGTTTGAAGATGTTGTGCTGACAGGTCTCAGTTCCACTGACACAGACGGAGAAGGTTGCTGCTGAACAACCTGGAGTTGCGGCTGAATTTGCAGAGATTTTTGGTCCTGAAACAGGTGTTCAATTTCGTTCTTTTTACAAAAACATGAGAATAGGGAATGAAAAGGGGAAAAAGTATAGACTTGGAAACAACCTTTGAATCTGAATTGGAGCTAGTGTCAAGCAAGATATCATTCCAGTTAGCAGATATCAAAGGATCTTCATCGGTGATCAAATGGTCAGCCCATTCTTGCCAATCATTTCGTTTATGAATGTCATCAAAAGCCGCACCAATGCCACCATCCTCAATCTGACTGTTGTTTTGAATGGCCTGATGGTTTACAGGGAAATCAAGAAACCCTCCAGGCAGTGAATCATGGCACCAAGAACCATCGTTGCTCGGTGCCTGAGAGACGAGATGCGGTGCATTAGTAGTGCTGTTTCCTGCATAGTGTTTCTCATGAGACACCATAGATGAGTAATGAAGATTGGTTGAGAAACCAGATGATGATGAAGAACATATATGTCCAACTGCTCCACCGTTGCTGGAGGAAAGCAGATGGTAGGTTTGTCCTTGTGGCCTCGACATTAACTGAGTGTTCTCTGATCTCACGAAAACATCTTCTGTTGCTGAAGGAATTGGTGTGGATGGTATTGAAGAAGTGCGAGCTAAATTACTGAGCTCCCTGGAGCCTGATCTCTGAACCGGACGAGCCTCCATTGTTGGTTCTTGAAGATTCTAGTGGGTGCACCCCAAGTCGAATCATCAAATCTCGCATCTGATAAAAGGGAAAAAACCAAAAAAAAAAGATTTATACGTGAGAAATTGCAAAAGAAGATGTTAAATAGTAAACACCAAACTCAAATACAAGTACATAGAAGCACACAACAACAGCATCAGTTCAAGGTGTTAAAGAAGTTTGTAAGCATAGGATTTATCGCTGTTTGATGTAATAATTTCGCAAATTTATTCATTTGGTTTCCAAACGAAATGTAGCGAGAAAATTTGAAAAAAAATCAGCAGAGAAGGAATCAATATGAGAAGACGAAGAAGCTGCTACTGTAACATAGAAAAATCTATTATAATTATAATAATAATAACACAAGCATCGAGAATCATCGACAAAGCAAAACACATTATCCAACCAAACATCAAATTCGCTGGAAAATAAAGACAAACACTAATCGAATCCGAATCGACCAACCATGGACGGTTTTCTATAGAAAGCAAAGATATCTGCAATTATGCTCGAACGATACGAATTCTCTTACCTGTAGATTAAAACGAAACGCGAAAGAATAGATAATTCTCACCTATCAATTCATGGAAGAAAGTCCGGACCTAGGAGACGACGAATCGAATCTTAGGTAATTAATTAATAAATGAAAAATTCCCCGCTTGAGGAAAATCGGAGAATCGGCTCGTTGTATGTTGTCCTCAAGAGAAAGTTGACGGTGATTTCTTCGCTCTTTGTAAATTTCGTCGTCCCAAAGGAGGTGGTGGTGGCTGTCTTAACAAGGGGATCAGCCGTCGTTTCTTCACACGCGGTGTAACAGCGCGTGAGATTACTCGCTTTGCAGGGACTTACATGAAATCCAACGTGGATGCTGTTTATTGGATAATTGAAATCATTAATTAGGCTTTGGTCTTTTTTCGGTTTTTTTTTTTTTCTGGTTTCTCTGATGTTTTTGTGGTCTTTCACTCCATTTTAAGGCTTACAAGGCCCTTTACTTTGATTTTGTTTGCTCATTATCATCATAATAAAATAGAAGGTTATAAATACTTAGGCCCAAAGTAGTTTCTATTGATATTTCAGCAAAAGAAAAGATATTTCCTTTGGGTATCCAATAAGAATAGAGATGTTCAAGATGTTATCATGAGTTAGGCTTTTTTATGTTCTTAATTAATCTCAATCCATTTCAAGACATGACTTTTATGTTTGAGCTCAATCCTTTTTTCCTATAGCATACACTATTTGGATTGGAATCCAGATATTACGCATCAATAGCAGTGTCACAATCTATTAGAATACAAATTTTAGTCAGTTAAACATAAAAAAAAATAGTAAAAATTTGATGGATTTGGAATAACTAGTGGGACTAAAAAAAAAAAATACAACTCAGAAACATTTTTAATCCAAACAATCTGAAACTGAAAATATTCAGATATTTTTGTTTCATACAAAAGAATTAAATTACAAACAAAGAAAAATGATATTCCCTATCACAAGGTTACATATATAATTTTATTTTTTGGTCAACAAGGCTACACAAAAAATTATATATGCAAATAACAATTTCCAAAATTAGTGTAGAAGACAGCCAAACAAACAAAAAAATTATAAGGCTCTTAAGATTTAACCTTCTAATTTACTGTTTTGTTGTATCCACAATTTGGCGTACCTCCCTGATTTCCTCAACAACACTTCGTGCGTCCCTTTTTCCACCACTTTCCCTTTCTCCATAACTATTATCTCATCGCATTGCATAGCAGTGGTCAGCCTGTGTGCAATGAAAACGCAAGTCCTGTCACTCGCTAGCGACCTGAGCGTTTTCATGATCTCTGCCTCGGTCTTACTGTCGAGCGCACTCGTTGCTTCGTCACACAACAGAATCGCAGGCGATTTCAGAAACGCACGAGCAAGTGCAACTCTTTGTTTCTCTCCACCGCTCAGCATCAACCCTCTTTCTCCAACCGGCGTCGAATATTTTTCCGGGAAATTCATGATCGTATCGTGTATCGATGCACGCCGAGCTGCATCGTACACTTCTTCCTCTGTTGCTGAAAGTTTTCCATAGTGAATGTTGTGAAATATTGTGTCATTGAAGAGCACCTGCCAATACCAGCTTATAAAACTTAGACAATAGCCATTTTTAGTTATAACCAAGAAGCATTTCATTTTCTTAAACGGTTCTCAAAACCGGTTTAGACAAATGACAAGAAAGGTTAACAGAAAACTTAGAGTGAAATGCTAACTTACAGTGTCTTGAGGGACAACTCCAATGGAGTTTCGAAGACTATCTAGTCTCACTTCTTTTATATCTTGACCATCAATCCTAACATTTCCGGAATCTGTGTCAAAGAATCTGAATATCATTCTAAGAATCGTTGATTTTCCACTTCCGCTACTACCAACAATCGCCACACTTTTCCCTGCCGGTACATCAAACGAAATCCCATCTAAAATCTTTCTCTCCGGCAAGTAACCAAAGTGTACATTCTCAAACCGAATGCTTCCGCCTTTCAGAACAAGAAGAGGAAGCTTTGCGTCTGTGTCTCTATCTCCGATGTCGGATTTCTCTTCAAGCAATTGGAACATTGACTTCAAGTCCACAAGGCTCTGCACAGTTTCTCGGTAAACACCACCGAGAAAGTAAAGAGGAAGAGACAATTGGAAGAGAAGACCATTCACCATAACCAAATCACCAACTGTCATCTGACCATTCATAATCCCTTGAGAACACAACACCATCGATGTTGACAAAGCGGTACTAAATATAACACTCTGTCCAAAATCAAGAAAGGCAAGGCTTTTCTGAGTCCTCAAAGCAGCATCTTCGTATGTTTCGAGTAGCTCATCGTATTTTCGAGCTTCGTGGTCTTCGTTGTTGAAATACTTAACAGTCTCGTAGTTTATGAGAGAGTCAATGGATCTTGCGCTAGCGTCGTTATCAGCTTTGTTCATAGCTTTTCTAAACCTGGTTCTCCACTGCGTCACAACCAATGTGAAAGCTATGTATGATCCAACAGAGACACAAGTAATCAATCCAAAAGCAGCTCCGTAATTGTACGCTAATATACCTGAGACCATAGATATCTCCAAGATTGTGGGAACTACATTGAAAACCATAGCTGAGAGGATCGTGTTTATCGCGCGGCTTCCACGATCGATGATTCTGTTCAAAGCTCCTGTTTCTCGATTTAGATGGTAACGAAGGTCGAGATCGTGTAAATGCGAGAGCACTTTTATTGAGACGGATCGTATCGTGCGGAGAGCTACTTTGGAGAAGACAGCAGTACGAAGCTCGTTAAACGCAGAAGATCCAGATCGAGCGATTCCGTATCCAATGAGAACAGAGGAAGGAGTAGCGAAAGCAGCAAGGAGATAAGGGTTTGTAGCAGCGATTGAAGAAGAAGATGATGATGACGAGAGTGAATCGATAGCTAATTTGAAGAGGAAAGGAACTTGAACATTCAAGAACTTAGCTCCCACGAGACAAGCTAATGCGGTGATGACTCTGAGACGGAGTTCTGGGTCGTCTCTCATCCATAGATAGCTGGAGATCGTGCGGAGGATCTTCTGCGACGACGTCGTGTTGGTTTTGTTTTGAGATTTAGAGGTGGTTTGGTCTGGATTTGGAGTTGACGTTGAAGTGGAGAAGAACAAGACGCGCGTGTTGACTCTGGAACCAATCGGAGACGGGGATGGATCTGAGAGGAAGGCATTGATACTGATCGATGTTCGAACTGAGTTACGTTTGATGAAATTGGAGAAACTGTGATGATGACGATGGTGATGATCAGAGCGAAGTCGGTAACAAAGTGAAGCGCGACAGAGGAGAAGCCGAGATCCCCTCGACATCGCTTCTTGTCCGAACGAATCACATACAATTTTTTCCGGCTTTATTTTTTTTTTGTTTTTTTTTTGGTCTCTCCGAAGTGTTGCTCGATCTCTTGCTGATTCCAGTTCCGTACCAGACTAGCTGAAGAAGAAGAAGATATCAACTCGGGAATAACCGGTTCCGGTTTAATTGCGGTTTTGATAATGAAATCTAGCTCGGTGACAACCGGATCTGGTTAACTCCTTCGATTGCCACGTTTCATCGAATCGGATACTTATTTTACGGTGGTGCACACCGTAGCGAATCGCATTCAGAATTGTGGGTCCTACATGGACAACGAACACTTATCAAAATTTCAACCCTCGCTTTGCATTAATTTAATTTGAACGGTTTATTTGGAAAGTAAAGAAGCAGCGGTCGGTTATGTCTTCCCTCCAGACGACAGGGTTTTTATCCGGACACCACTAAAAATGGACAACTAAACTCTCTTTAATTAAAATTCAATTTTAATTACGTGACTAAGATTAGATTGCCACTTGATTAAAATAATAAATTTTCTATTAATGATGATATCTTGCTTTAAACCGGAACTAATCCTCACCGTTCGATTTGGAAAGAATGGACCAAAGGACGTGGGCACGAGTTCCCCCTCTGTTCACGTAGGTCCCACGTAGCTCTGTAGTATCCTTTTTTATAGCCGTCCGATTGAATCCCATGAAGCTGACATGTGAGCCCCCACTTTTCTTATTTTTATTTTAGTTTTCGAGTTTGAGAATATGTTCACAAAAATATTTCAACTATTATTAATTGTGTTTTCTTCAGATTTTTTTAATCCCACGGATATACAACCGTTTTGATATCATTTTATGTTTTACATCTGCCCGATCTATATCCGATTTTGGAGTCAATACCAACTAAAAACATCTGAACGTTTAACATCATTATTTAATTTTTGTTGTAGCTTATAATATCAGTAATTGATATAATGTAATTGTGTTTTGTATTGCAATTATGAGAGTAATTATCAGTTATAGAACTGACTTACAGTAGTATTTTTCTATATAAATATTTAATGACAATGATTTATAGGTAAATGTGTCTTACATAATTGCAAAACTAAGCTATATATAAGAATAATTTTCCAAAATAAATAGTAGTAAAAATCATTCCATATATAATATTTTTTCCGGCTATCCTTTCATATTCTAAGCAATATCAATCGCTGCAGATACCATATGATTATTTTCTCATAGATGAATAAAAGAAAAGTAACTACAAATAAATATATTCACGGAATAAAAGTGAGAGATTTATCAAATTTTATTTTCTGCCAAACAAAAATTAATGTTTATTTTTTCTTTTGCATCAAAGTTGATATTTTTGGCGAGAAAGTTAGGGAAGTAAAAAGGGACAAATCCCACCCGTCGTGTCTTCTTGTTCATCCTTTGTTTCCCTTTTTCTCATTTCTTTCTTTCTCACTGTTTTTGGCTTACTTAAAGTCGCAAACTTTGCTTCAAATTCAACCCACCTCTCTTCTCCCTCCTCTGCAGATTCTCTTCCCTTAGAACCAAATCTCCCCCCCAAATTCTCAGTCTTCTGGGTTTCGGATTCAAATGGAAGGCGGTTCCGCGAGTGGCTCGGCTTCGACTTTGTCAAACGATGAAAATCTCGTTGTCTCTTGCGAGGATTCTTCTTCCCCGGCAGAGAATGAGCTCGAGCTCGGTCTTACGTTGAGCATCGGTCCAAAGGGTAATCGAGATTGCAGGGTTTCTTACGCTGATGATTCTTCATCTTCGTCATCTTCTTCCCTGAGCAGAGCTAGCGTAACTGCTGGGATCAAGAGAACAGCTGATTCCATGGCTGCAACTAGTGGGTGAGATTCTCCTCCATCGTAACCTTTTCCAATTCTAGAAAAGCCTTTACATTGATCATCGTTTATTTGGGGATTCTCTCCCAGTATCATGGTTATCATCAATAGAACCATAAAAAGGAAAAAAAAAATCAAGTTTTGATTTGGGGATTCTCTCCCAGTATCATGATTATCTGTTTTCCAGATAATCAGATAGAATGTTCTTTATTATCTGGAAATTAGGTAGATGATTTTGAATGTTATCTTTTTTATGGGAAAGTGGTTTTTCTTTTGGGATGAAGTGGTTGATTGATCCTGTAGAGTTATGCTCTTGCTATAATTTCACAGGCCCTCAAGTGTAGTTCTTTTGTGTGTTTACTCTATGTTGTGTTTTTGAAACCTTGCAAAATCGCAGGCAAGTTGTGGGATGGCCACCAATAAGGACTTACAGGATGAACAGTATGGCTAACCAAGCCAAGACATTGGCTATGGAAGATTCGAACACAGAGACTCGTCAAGAAGTAAACAAGAATATAACTGATGCGACAAAGATGAGAAATTCGATGTTTGTGAAGGTGACTATGGATGGCATTCCAATCGGAAGAAAAATCGATCTGAATGCTCATAAATGCTATGAATCGTTGTCCAGCACTCTGGAAGAAATGTTTTTGAAACCCAAAACAGGTGCGTTTTTCAAAACTTATGGAATGGTTTTTTCTTTTCATTTTCAAGGTTTTTCTTTGTCTGAGATTGGAATGATGATTCTTTTTGTAATCAGGTTCAAGCACACGAGAAACCGATGGTCACGTTGAAAAACAGCTCAAGATACTACCAGATGGGTCTTCTGGATTAGTACTTACATACGAAGACAAGGAAGGAGATTGGATGCTTGTCGGCGATGTTCCGTGGGGGTATGTCTATGCATATATGTAAATTCTTAAGCTTTCGATGCTGAGCCCGTCCAACTTTTGAATCCTGAACTGAGTTTTACTTGTGTCCAGGATGTTTATTGGTTCTGTGAAAAGGCTCCGGATAATGAAAACATCAGAAGCTACTGGTACAGGTACATTTACTGATTTGATCAAATCCTTATTTCTGTATCAAGATCTTTTCTTTTATGTCGTTGTGACCGTTTTTGTAAAATCCTTGTTTTACAGCTCAAATGTTCTTATGAAGCGAATAATAATCTACAAGAACCCTTTATATTTGAAGCAATAATAATACAGATCACAGATCAAAGGGAAGACAAAAACAGTGTAAGAAACCTTCTTCTTCTTCCTGCTTCTTCTCTTTACAGTTTTTGGCTCTGCCATTCTTTTAGTTAGTGGCATGTTCTCTTTGTAAATCACATTTGACAAGCTATAACAAAAGTTACAAAACTCTGTTTTGCACACAAATTGGTTCAGAGCAATGCACAAGTTAATTAAGATCTGTAAACAAAAAGGAAAGTTATTCTACATGGATAAATCAAATCAAAAGGATAAAAGATCTCTCTCTCTCTCTCTTCTACGTACAGAACACGAATCGAACAAATCAGTTTGGGGCCCTTTTTCTCTCTCATCTCGTCCTAAAGAAAGCCATTTACAGGTGAAGTACTAAAAACCGATGTCGGTTTCTCGGCCAAGCTACGGCTAGTATTTTCCTCATTACTATTGCTTTTCCTCCTCGGTTTAGCCTCACCAAGCATCGATATCACATCTCTCATTGAAGGTCTGTCTTTAGGGAGTTTCGTGGTGCAGAGAAGAGCAATCTGTAGAACTAAAAGCATCTCTTCTTGAACATATCTGCAGTTTCCGACGTTAGGATCTAATGCTTCTTCTAGTGATATGTTGTCTCTTATCTTGTTCCTCACCCACTCCACAATGTCTACGGATTCTCCAAACTCCGGCTCCAATGGTCTTCTTCCGGTTAAAAGCTCCAACAATACGACGCCGTAGCTGTATATATCTATCTTCTCGTCCACCTTCAATGTGTATCCGTACTCTGCAAATGATTAAACCAAATTGAAATTAAACTTGGTTAGATCAAACCGGATTGTAACCAAATTAAAGATTCGTACGTATTATTAAACCGGATCAATGCGAGATAACCGGTGCGGTATTGTAAGCTTACCGGGAGCTATGTAGCCGTAAGAACCGGCGACCATTGAAACGGTTTCTTTCTTTCTGGCCATCATCCTGGCGAGGCCGAAGTCGGCGATTCTGGCGTCAAGATTCGCGTCGAGCAAAATGTTATTCGATTTGATGTCTCTGTGGATCACCGGAGGATGACAATCATGGTGGAGGTAAGCGAGGCCGTGAGCGACACCAAGCGCGATGTTGTAACGCGAGACCCAATCGACGAGCAGCCTCCCGGCGGCGTTTTTCCCGTGAATCGCGTCGCCGAGGTTCCCGTTAAGCATGAATTCGTATACAATCATCATGTTTTTGTCGTTGTATAGGAACCCAAGGAGCCTCACGATGTTCCTGTGTCTCAATTTTCCCAGAAGGTTTACTTCGCCAACGAAATCTCCGGTGTTTCCATCCTCAATATCGGCGGCGGATCTCCAGAGCTTCTTCACGGCGAGAACAGTGTTCGATCGTGACATCTCCGCTTTGTACACGATTCCGGTGGCTCCCATTCCGATCATGTTCGATTCTTTGATGCAGGAAAGGATATCGGAGGCTGTGAACCCTAACCTATGAAACGCCATTAGTCTCCAAGGCCATTCACCTTTGCTCGCCGTCTCGTCGCTGCAGAATCCGTTGGAATACCATCTCTTGTACAGAGTTCTCGCAACGATGGCGAGAAACCCTAGGGCTAGAACCGATGCGATCCCAATCAACCATCCGGCGACGATTCGTTTCCCGTGGAAGCTCCTGTGCCCCGATGTTACCCCTTGGAACTTGCTACACGGCGGAAGAACGCCGCCGCAGAGACCGGAGTTCCCTCTCAGATCATCTGGATTTATGGTTCTGAGAAATCCGTTTATTGGGACTGGACCTGTGAGCTTGTTGTAAGAGACGTTGAGGAGTTCCAGTGCCGGAGACGTTCCGATGCTCTCTGGGAGTTCGCCGGTTAATGAATTGTTAGACAGATCGAGCACGGCCAATGCGGACATCGTCGTGATCTGCCTCGGGATTTCGCCGGTGAGGTGATTGTTTCTCAGGCTGAGGCTAACAAGCTTCTCGCATGAAGCAATGCTGGAGGGAATAGTGCCTGTGAGACTGTTTGAAGAGAGATCGAGATTCGATAGCGAAGGACAATCCTGGAATTGGTCCGGAACTTCGCCGGAGAGATCGTTCTCGGCGACCAAAAACGCCTGCAGATTATGAATCGAGAGGATCGTGGAAGGGAGTGACGAGCGAATCTGGTTTCTTGAGAAGTCAATGAAAGAAAGCGAAACCGAGTCGGAGAGATCTCCAGGAATCCCTCCGGTGAGACGATTACCAGCTAGTTCGAGCCTCTGAAGCTTCTCAAGCTTGCCGAAGCCGATGGGAATCGAACCGTTTAGCAGATTGTTCTGCATCCTGACGCGAACTAGCGACTGGCAAGTGGATATAGTCGCCGGAATCTGACCTGAGAAAGTGTTGTTGAACAAAATTAGCTTAGTTAGATTTCCCTTGCTGCACAGAGTAGAAGGAATCTCGCCGGAGAAGGAATTTGAAGAAACGTCAAGCCACTGTAACGGAGAGTTCTTCCCGAGATCGCTTGGCAACTCGCCGGAGAGCGTATTGTTCCAGAGCTCGAGGACTTGTAACTGCGCCAGATTGCTGATCATGGGAGGAACAGAGCCGGAGAGTCTGTTGCGCATCAGGTTCAGTAGCTCCAGGTTCTTTAGCTCCGCTATCTCCACTGGAATCTCGCCTGATAACGCGTTATCGGAGAGATCAAGAACCTTAAGCGTGGTGATGTTTCCGATCTCCGGCGGAATTTTTCCGGTGAAGTTGTTCTGGTAGACAAGAAGCGTCTCGAGTGACTTGAGCTTCCCGAGCTCAGAGGGAATCTGACCACTGAGCTTTCCGATGGCCAAATCAAGGTACTTGAGGCTGTTGATGTTCCCAAATTCCGGTGGAATCGGACCTGTGAATTCGTTGTACCCAAGAACGGCGCTTTCAAGTGAAGGGATCTCGCCGAGCACGCTTGGTAACTCGCCTGTCAGATTATTTCCGGATAATCCGAGAAATCTCAGCTTCTGCAGATTCTTGAATGAACTTGGAAGCGACCCTTGAAAGAAATTCCCTCGGAGATCAAGAACTTCTACAGAGACTAAGTTCCCGAGATCTTCAGTTAAATTTCCAGAGAGATTGTTTCCTGAAGCATTGAGATGAACGAGTCCAAGTGATTCATTGCCAAATAGAAAAAGATTGCCTGAGAATGAATTCTGGCTGATGTCTACGGATTTCAACGGAGGGAGTGACTTCGGAAGCATCGAGTCGAATCCGTTGCATGAGATGTTAAACGAGACAAGACTTCTTAGCTGTTTGATCGAATCAGAGATTTTGCCCGTGAGATTCATTCCCGACAGGTCCAGCTTCTCAACATTGCCGTGGGAGTTGCACCGAACACCGGTCCAGTTACAATGATCGCCGGCTTCTGAAAGCTTCCAATCTTTGAGAAAGTTGAGAGGATCGATAAGAGTTGATTTCACCGAGAGCAAAACAGAGAGCTCATTGCCATTGTCGATGGAAGCTGAAACAGAGGAGGTAGAACCAATGTAACAGTAACAGAGGAAGAGAACCACAATCTTCATCTTCATCTTCATCTTCTTCCTCTGTCTCAGCAACTTCCACTGAAGCTTGTCTTCTTAGTACATTACCATGAACAAGACTAGTGAACATGCAAGGAGGTGGAGGAGGAAGAAGAGTAGAATAAGAAGAAACTCGTTAAGTATATGCTTGCTCTGTGTATATATAACTATATCTAAATATATGTTATATATAGACACATTGATATATAATGAATCTTGGTTTTATATGGATCTAGGTATGTAAGAAAAAAAAAAACAAGATCTTGGAGTTATTTGACAAATTTCTTCAGACATTGAACATGTGAAGAGAGAATGTGTTTTTACAATTACAACTAATCCAAAAATGTGTTCGGTGTTTAAAAATAAAAACAAAGTCAACTATGATTTGCTGTATAGTAATTAGTAAGTTGTGAATGTGCCATAGCTAGATAGCTTAAGCTTAAGCTGGAAATTTATTTTATTTTTTGATAATATACATATATGCATAAAGAACTTAATATATATACAGACACTTGGTGTGTGCCATACTCCCCATAGATGGCTTATGCTTAACTTCATTCTAATTCAGCTTTTGTAGAATGTCTTTTATTTAACGCCTTTTTCTTTTTGGGTCTTTTAATGCTTACCTTCCAAGGAGAAAAGAAATCGAAAATGTTTGTAAGTATGGCATATATCCATTCTATCACATTACCTATATAGTCATATAGATATATGTAAATGTACATCAATACATATATTAAACACAGATTAATCCATATATAAATATTGTATACTGTATATATGTAGCCACCGAGGTGAACGTTCGAAGCATCAGAATGGGTGATATGCACATGTGATGAAGACGAATAGATGATCACATATAATCACATTACCTTTCTTTAATTTCAGATAGGTCCAAATAATTACATTAATAATTAATATCAGCAGTAATGAAGATGATCCCACGATCGATCTCACGTTTCTTCTTACCCCTTTTGAATTTGGTAAAGGTTCTTTCTACCTAGTGTAGTTGTTAAAAATAAATTTGAACCCACCTCATCGCCATTATGTGAAGGCGTACGTATTTCTTTTTTTTATTCAATCAAGAGTTACCATGATGCATAATATTATAATATATGCCACTGCAGAGAGAGTGCAGGCTTGTTACTGTTCCTTCGTTTGCATGATTGAGTAGATAAGAATCTTTCCATGTTACAGGTTATAATAAATAAAAAAAATATGGCAGCGTAAATATCTATATAATAATATAAGTAATAACCAGGTATAAAAAATCAAATTAAATAGAAGTTGGATTGATTATCAGTACTTAAACTTAAGCTACTGTGATTCATTTTTTCTTCGCCCCTTCTTTATAATCTTTGTTGAATATATATATAGACAAATGACTCTTTGAAATGTATATGACTACATTACAATTCACATGATGTAAATAAATATTGCCCCCAATGAAAATGCTAATTTCATCAACTTTCTAGGTAATGACTAAAAGTATGTATGGACACAGACACCCAAAGCCGATGCCAAATTGCCAATGCCTTTAGGTAAAGACAATAAAAAAGTAAAAATGAACACGGAATATAAAAAGTACTTCAAAAGATCGAGAAGAGAATTCTTTAAGAGTTCCCAAATAGATTGATTGTAGCATACGCTTTAACCAAAAAGAAAAAAAGTGTAGCATAGTCAAATTGTTTGTTATTAGTTTTACAATTTTGATATCAGCAACAAAAAGATGTTAAATAATCTGAATAACCGTAGTTCAACAGACCAATTAAAGAGGTTTAAAATATTAAACCAAAAACTCAAATATGTTAGAGACCAAACAAAAAAGTAAAATATATTTGCAGGGGGTCGGTCGAGGTACTTATAAATAAAGAACAAAAAAGGTCGAGGTAAAATAAAAAGCTACTCAATTTGATAAGGATAATATAAATTAGATAGATACAAAATTATTTTTGGGAAATGGCAGAGAAATGCACACGCATATTCATCAAATCAATTACTGTAATACTCCAAAATTACCCACTCCTCCTAGTGATTTCGTGTTTCCATCCTTCAAATGACAATAAACAGAAAGCGTTGCTTCTTTGTTTGTTTATCAGAAAATTGTTGCTTCACATGCACTCATGTGGGCCGGTCTTTTCTATGTTTTTTTTTTCTTTCTTATTATCTGAAATTTTAGAAAACATTCCGATCCGTAGTTAAATTCTTCATTTGATTATCCTTTCGTTGGATAGATAACTTAAATTCAACGATTATTCACTAACAGAGTATAAATTATAGGTTAGTATACTACATTTTTAGTTTTCAGTACTTACTCCCATATCAGACTTAGGTAGGAAAAACGAAAAAGGTCTACACAATAAACATTATAGCTAGTAATGAATTATCACCCAAAAATACAAATATTGGATGGTTATGGTTACATGAGATTCATAGATGATACAATATATAAATACCTACAATAGGTTTCACGGCTTAATGGGATGCATGTGGATCAGCACCTTAATCACTTACTTTAGTATTAATTTTGTATTATTAGAGAGAGAAACCCAATCCCACAAAGTACATAAAACTCTTTGCAAATGGTATTTTGTGGGGTTTTAAATGCTGAGGTTAAACAAATTTAAAATTAATCGCATAGCATATATAGTTATATACTAATTGATATAACAAGTATGCTTGCTGACGGTTTATCACATGGGCATGGGATTCGTTATGGCATCACAGACTTGAGTCCAGCTTTTCCTACCTACGATCTGCACGCATGTGCCACGTGTGTTTCATGTAGATCACTCTAGTCAATATGGGTGGACCTTCTGAGACAGCAAGAGACTCTCATAGTCGGAGACTCTCGAGTCATGGGTGGACCTTCTGAAATGGGTTCAATAATAAGTGGTATTTTCTGGCCCATATTTAAAAGCCCATTCTATTTGAGACGATGACGGTATCCAACGAAGGAACGGCTTTGGTGGTGACACGTCACGATCCTCCCGCCACCACACCAGAGCTTTTGCTTCATCTCCTTCCTCCTCTACTCTTCTGTGTCTCTAATCTCCTCTCGCACACAGTACAGCTCGAAAATGGCTTGTGTTCGTTCGATAGGGTCTTTAACTTCTGCCACTCATTCTACTCGAGATGTTTCACGCTCAGGTACTATTTTATCTATTTGCTCCTTTTCTCTCTTCCCGTTCGCGAAAACCCCTAAATTCTGGCATTTGAGACTTCAAATTCGTAGTGTGAATCTTCGTGTTGCATGTAGATTGATTATGGTTTTATAGGCCGGAATTTTCCTTAGAATGCTGATTCCGAAGCTGTAACGAGCAGTAATCTCTCGCTAAATCGATTTATGTGAAACGAATAAAATCTTGTTTCTTTACGAGCTCATGCTTTCTTTGATTCTGAAGCAAATCAAAAGTATTCATTTTTTTCTTCCTTGAGTATTTCTTCTTTCGTGGATGATGGGATTAGCAGAAAATGTGAAAATGTACCATTTTGAGTAGCAAAGGGTTTAGTAACTGGCTGTAATCTTGATAATTGGGGATTAGTGTTCATGTCTGGAAAGAGATTCAAATATAATGGAATGAAGACATCCGATTTTAACATAAATCGGTATCAATTAACTCGAAATGTGTGATTAAAAACCACAATTTGATCCCTTTTTTCCACAGGCATTGTCATATCTTCATGCTCTGTGCTTCCCATCAAGCAATCCTCATTCACTGGCTCTCCAATTTCCCTCACGCGGGTCCAACCATCATCCCAAACATCTCTAAAACCGCGAAAACTCATCCCAATCACGATGATGGTGAAGCCAACGCTCCAATTCATCCAAGGAACAGACGAGATGACGATCCCTGATGTCAAGCTGACTCGGTCTAGAGACGGAAGCAACGGAATGGCGCTCTTCTCTTTCGACCAGCCATCTGTTTTCGATTCGAGCGGTGAGGTCGGAGAGATAACGGGACTGTACATGATCGACGAGGAAGGTGTGATTCAGTCGACGGATGTGAACGCGAGATTCGTCAACGGGAAACCTGAAGGGATTGTGGCCAAGCACGTTATGCGGACTCCTAAAGAATGGGACAGGTTCATGAGGTTTATGGAGCGTTACTCTGACCAGAACGGCTTGCAGTTCGTTAAGAAGCAATGAGGTCGGACATTTTTTTCTATGAGCAAAAGAGTGTGTATGTTACCATTGATTCTCAACTCTTTTGGTTTATATAATCTTTTACTCTCATAGTTTTGGTCTTTACTCGAGTTTCAACTTACAATGCTGATACATATCATTAGAGTTCGTTTAATTACTTTTGGAATTTTTTTCATCAAATCTGATTTTAGTTTAGAGGAATCCATACTTTGACGAAGATATGAACAAAATCCCATTGTGAGATTGCTTGAACCGTGTTTGTGTCTGAATCATGGGTGTTCAATCCAATCAAACCAAAACCTTGTCAAGAAAACCCGAATTATACGCTTAACCGGAATAACAAAGACACAGAATTCGCTTTCATTTTGTTCATATCCGTGAAAAAGTAGGCTTAACATTGAGATTATTAAAAGTAGGCTTATTTAACATATTGTGTTAAGTAGTGAAATTGTATTAAAAATTGAACAGAAACCAAACTAAACCGGTTTACTATACTTTGAGTACCAAAGTGTTTAAACCGAGAACGGGATATCCACTTCTATATATAGGCAAGAGTCGTTGTTAGAGAGTTTTATTATGGAGAGAAGCAACAAAACATCGTTTCCTCTGATCATGAATCGTAGAAATGGCGTCGACGTTAATCTCTTCCTTGGCCGTTCTCTTGCCGTTAACGTTACTTACTCCGTCAATTTCCACGAAAGTCTCTCGAATCGACGTTCTCGGCTGGAGTTGCAACAACGGCACCGTCGCCGACGCCGAGGCTTACCGGAGATCTTACAATTTCAATCTCGACGAGATCAGAGACGATATGAGGAAGGTCAAGTTTGGGGTTCATGAGCACGGAGATCCTCCGCAGAAGATGTTCCTCTTGTCGCAGTGCGTTAGCGATCTCTCACCCGACGAATGCAATCTCTGTTGGTCACGCGCCACCGATCTCCTCTCTCAATGTTTTCCGTCCACCGGTGGTCGGTTTTTCCTCGACGGTTGTTTCGTTAGGGCTGATAATTACAGCTTCTATCGCGAGCCTATTGCTCATCAAGACTCCAAGGTTTTGTTCTTCTTCCTTCTTTTTCCTTTGAATTTTTTTCGTAAATTAGATGGCTAGGAGTTAAATTCAGCTCACATTTGGCTAATACAGAACCTCGACCTAGGATTTAGTGTGGATTTTGCTATAGAGATCCAATTTCGAGGAAAAACAATTAGATTAACCTAATGTGTCGACCATTTTGGGACTTTAGATATGTGCTAGTGACAAGGAGTCGTCTGCAGAATTTAAAGGATTAGTAAAGGAAGTGACCAAATCCATTGTTGAGACGGCTCCTTATAGTAAAGGTTTCTCGGTGGCTCAAAAGGGCGTCCACGGTTTAACGGTTTACGGATTGGGAATCTGCTGGAGAACGCTAGACGATGAGCTGTGCAAATTGTGCTTAGCAGATGGAGCTTTATCTGTCAATAGCTGCTCACCATCCAAAGAAGGCTTTGCCTTGAATGCAGGATGCTACTTGCGTTACTCTAACTATACCTTCTATCACGAACGTGGATTGCTTTCTATGAGTATGTCTTTGTGTCCTGAATCTTGTGGTTCTTTAAATTGTAATCATATAATAGCTTCTTCTTCTTTTTTTTCTTTGTAGGTTTAACGAAAGAACACATTGTGCATGTACTGGTTATTTCTATGGTGTGTGTCTTGGCTGTTGCAGCTGGATTTTGGTGTGGAAAATGCATCTTTTTGCGAGCTCTTCCGAAGAAGAAGCTTAAAGGTAAGATCCTTGTTTGGAACTAAGACTTCTGATATGTGGTCAGGCGCGGATATCTCATAGGAGCTAAGACTAAAAAATTTCACTTATTTGGACATCTAAGGATAGAGAAGGAGTCCAAGTCTATATGTAATAGCTCAAACTTGATGAGCTTTAAGTATTCAACTCTTCAAAGAGCAACCAACAACTTCAATGAGAGTTGCAAGCTTGGTGTTGGAGGATATGGTGAAGTCTTCAAGGTTCCTCTCTTCTCCCTATATCGATATCGTTCCCCACATTTGGCCACAATCTCGCTTGATTAAAAAAGCGTTTATTATCTTTTTGACAGGGAACTCTGTCTGACGGTAGGGAGATCGCTGTAAAACGGCTGCATATAACAGGAAAGAAGCCAAGGGAAGAGATCCATAATGAAATCGATGTAATTAGCAGATGCCAACATAAGAATTTGGTCCGGCTCTTAGGTTGCTGCTTCACTAACATGAATAGTTTCATTATCTATGAGTTTCTCGCGAATACAAGCCTCGATCACATCTTATTTAGTAAGACCGCTCCCCCGAATCTCTCATGTTTAACCAATGCTTATGTTCTTCCCTGTCTGCAAAATTTCTAAACTTTTTTTGCCTGACATGGAAGTGAAGACCCAGAGAAGAAGAAAGAGCTCGACTGGAAGAAGAGGCGGACAATAATCTTAGGAACAGCAGAAGGTTTGGAGTATCTTCACGAAACTTGCAGGATCATCCATAGAGACATCAAAGCAAGCAACATTCTGTTAGACTTAAAGTACAAACCCAAAATCTCAGATTTTGGATTAGCCAAGTTTTATCCAGAAGGTGGGAAAGACATCCCTTCTTCATCTCCTTCTCCTTCTTCCATTGCCGGCACGCTGTAAGTCCTTTCAAACACCGAGAGAAGTACAGGTCGTATTAGTAGTCTGATTTTAGGATTTGAAAATGGAATTCCATGGTTTTTTTTTTTGGCAGAGGATACATGGCTCCTGAGTACATTAGGAAGGGAAAACTAAGCAATAAACTCGACGCTTACAGCTTCGGAGTCCTTGTTTTAGAAATAACCAGTGGTTTTCGAAACAATAGCTTCCGATCTGATAACTCCCTTGAAACCTTAGTTACTCAAGTGAGTCATCCATCCTTGACGTCAATCTTTAACTCCTTAGTTCCACTGAGTTTCCTTCATTACCCATATCTCAAACGCTTTACTTGAACAGGTTTGGAAATGTTATACTTCAGACAAGATGGAGGAGATGATAGACAAAGATATGGAAGAAGAGACAGATAAGACAGAAGTGAAGAGAGTGATGCAGATCGGTTTGTTGTGCACACAAGAGTCTCCACAGCTTCGTCCAACGATGTCTAAGGTAATACAAATGGTTAATTCTAAAGACCTTGTATTGCCCACTCCTACTAAACCACCTTTCCTTGATGATTCCATGTAGAGATCTTATACTTGTATAAATCCTCACTCTCTTTCTTACCCTTAGTAACGCACTAACACATTACAAAAGAAAAACAACAAGTAGATCATTTTGTAGTAGCTATCATATTATATTATTTTCTTTTCTAACTTTTGTCCCAATATTAATCATTGTAGACAAATATGCCTATTTACGTAGATAATTTGAAACGCCGTTACTCATCTGTCGCTATTTGAGGGGAGAGCAAAGAGAGTAATGTTTACTGTTTTAAAAACTTCCTAAATTAACTTGCAAGTTAGTGTTTCTTTTTTAATGACAAATCACCAAAAAAAGCATTGGATCACTGACTGAACATATATATATATATATATATATATATATATATATATAGAATAGCGATATTTCTCTTCGAGGTTCATGATGGAAGAGAAATATATTCATTGAAAAACTAATTTAGTTCAGTTTCTGATTTATATACAGATGCTAAGGCATCAGAACAGTTGGATCCTATAAAAAGACTATAAGAAAAATCTGGTTAATCTAGCAATAATCTAAACGATTTAAAAATATAATCGAGTAAAAGGATTCACGTAAGACTTTACAAGTTTTATTCAATTTCAGAAAATATCATTCAGACCGTATGAATCATACGGATGCTATGAAAATATGTTCAGTTTTTTTTTTTTTTTTTTGGGACAACAAATATGTTCAGTTTAATAGAAACCGGTTTGGTTTTATTGGGATCGTATATAAGAATAGTTTATTGGATTTGGGCCTGGCCTAATTAAAAAACTATTTGACATTTTACCTCCTCAGACGCTTTTAAAAAATTTGCTTTCTTCTCCATATCCTAACCCTAATCCCTTTTTTTTCTTCATCTTTATCTGCTTTTTAATGATTCTCCGTGAAGCAAATTTTTCCGGGAAAATCTGAGATGGAAGGAAACGAATTTCCCTGATTAATTTATGTGTTCTCTCGCATGCAACAGCATTGTGATTTCTCTCTTCTGTTTTGAATTTCGACTGGATTTACCGTTTAATTGAACAAAAACCTTGTTCGAATTCCGATGACTTCGATGAATCATATAATTTGTCTTAGCTCAGACGAGGAGGATGATAAAATAGAAGACTACAGTGGTTGGTTAGAAGAAGTTCTGGAAAATTCCACTGAGAAACATAACAGCACAGCACATCGGAAATCAAATCCGTCGAATCCAGAGGAAGACGGCGACGACGATTGTGTGGTCTTAGATTGTGATCCTTACAAGACGACGGAGAAGAAGGAGACTAAATTAGACACTTGCGAAGCCGATGAGGAAATCCTTGTAGTAGGGGAAAAGGGTGAGGTAAAATTTCACACTTGATCTCTTTGACAATTCTTCCGAGTCATTACGAATCTACCCAATTCTGAAGTTGCATGCCCTAATTTTGAAATGATTCACCAAGTGTGATAGTGTCACGAGTAGATGAACTTTAACTTGGGAACTGGTTATAGGAATCTCTTCTCTTTCAGAGAGAAATCTGAGTCTTTCTATATAAAGTTTAGTTTATTCAGATTGAAGTTTCTTGAAAGTCTAAGTTTTGAAATCATCAAACTAGTTTCGCTCTGTTTCAAGGAAGTTATTTGTTTTATAGATAGCTTGTAGAGACTTCCCACATCCGCGACATGCCTGCGCTAAGTACCCATTCAAGTCCACATCACACGAGAAGTACTGTGACATGGTGAGAATCTTCAAGTTTTTTTCTTTTCTCTATTTGCTTACAAAGCTTAAAATTGATGATGCCTTTCTTGCTAATTTAACTGTTGGTTTTTGCTTCTTTCTCTCAACAGTGTCACTGTTATGTTTGTGATATCCGAGCTCCTTGTCCAAACTGGTGCATCGGTATCCCCAGCAATAGCATTGATCACTGTCATGCCAATGATAAAGAAGAGATATGGAAGAACTATCGTGCATGCCTCAGGACTGGAGTGATACCTCCTCGACTTGCTTCGACCATGGCCCAATTGCAACAGCTTTCACAGACTCAATCTATTCAATCACCCCAAAACTCTCTGTATTCCCCTGTAAACCAGTTTGGGATCCGGGCTTGCTCGGCATCTACTATGGTTGTGACTCGCCCAACCACATACATCAGACCCGGTTATGGAACCGAGCAATCAACAACCTTACCGCAATATCCCGGTTTACAACCTCGTGGTGCTCAGTTGTTCCAGAATCAGAGAGATGGTTACTCAAGTCCTCATGTAATCTCTTCCAATCGATTCACATGGGATCAAAGACCAAGTAGAGTCGCTAGTCTCCCGGAAATGGGTATACAGAACGTTCTTCAAGGCTCACGATATCCACGTTACGCTCCTCCTCACGCTGCTTTACAAGCCAATTCACCGCAGATGTTTAGTGGTTATATCTCAACTGTGCCAGAATCTCACAGCAAATCGTCCGGTAGAAAATCTAGCCGGACTAGGTATTATGCTAAGGTGCAGACAAGTGCAGTGCCGCCTGCGACTCGTAATCCTCCGGTGAACCAGCAGCAACAACAACAACAACAATCAGGAAGAAGTAACGCTAAAGTACTGTCGGAGATTGAAGATTGGCTCATGGACAATTCTACCCCGACCGGATAGAACTCTGGCTTAATTGTAGAATTAGTCTGTACAGAGTAGTATTAGCCAAAAGCTTTTGGTTTAGGAGGCTGAAACATTTCGATATCAGTCTATGTTTTTTTAACTGATTTTGAGCTTTTTTCTATTTCTAAGTTCAAATCCGTTTTTTTGTGGCCCAAATGGATGAAAAAAAAAAGTATTGTTCTGAATTGTATACTCGTAAATGATATAATATATAGTCTAATTTGACAGTTATTAGAAAGTGTGCAGTGACTTTAACTAACTTTTGTGATGGGCAGTTGATGTCCGGAGAGAAGAAGAGGGATAGAACGGCGAGAAGGAGAGAAAGAGAACCGGCGAGAGTTCCGGCCAGAGGAAGAGATAGAGACAAAGTTCCGGCGAGAGTGAAAGGGACAGAGAACCGGCGAGAGGGAGAGAGAGAGAGATCCGACGCGTCGAAGAGAGAGTTCAGGCGAGAAGGAGAGAGAGAGAAAGGATTAAATCATAATTACTCATAAGTTTCTACTCATAATTACTCATAGTCACTGGTCAGTATATTTTTGCAAATCTTGAGATAGTGTCATTGCATTTGACTATAACGACTCTAATATACTAAGTATCGTACAAGTTTAGTAACAAGAGCAGGAAAGATTCCGTTGTTTCTCTATTGTGTTAATTTGGTATGGTAATTTTTATTTTTGATTTTGGTTGTCAACTTCCCCATTAAAGAAACCAAAAAGTCACGGAACAGAGTAGGAGAAGAAGAAAAAAAACAGAGCTGCTGAATCAATAGCTCACATTTAATGCCATAAGAACTACAACTTTTGTAAAATAATTTTCTTTTTCTTGCATTCGTTTTATCAGACAAAATTAAACTACTATAGTTATATTTTATTCCACGTTTTTATGATTTATTTATAGTAAATAATCTTTGCTATATTTCTTTTCCATCCGTTCGAAGAAAGTAAATCAAAAGTAATTTCGGTCAAGATATTAGAAATAGAAAATATATACAGTCCACAGATTACAAAATGTATTTTTCGGAAACTTAAAAATAATTTAACTTTTGGAAACTAGGACGGTAGTTAAATGGGTAGTACGTATTTTGGTGAGAGCACTTGTGGGAAGAAAAGTCAAAAGTATCGATAATAGTGGGAAATTCCGTTACAGAATACTAAATTTGTAATAACACTGCAATTTTTGAAAAAAAATAATAATAAATTAAGATATAGAATCTGAAAGATTCAATATTCTCCTATAAGATTCAACATTTCTCTCAACAGAATCTCGTGAATCTCTCCACCTTCCCCTTCTATAAACGCCAGTCTCTGCTCTCTCTCTCTCTTTACCTTTCTTCATTTCAAAAATTTCCCAAGTCCTCTCTTCCTCGAGATTGCAGAGCAATGGCGTCGACTCTCTCTTGCTCTGCCTCTGATCTGGTTCCCTTACTATCAGGAGGAGCCAACGCCACCGCCGCAAAAGCCGCCGCGGAATTCATCTGCGGGAGATTCGACACGATCTCCGGGAAATTCACCGACGCAGCTTACGCGATCGACAACACCTACCTCCTCTTCTCCGCTTACCTCGTCTTCTCGATGCAGCTCGGTTTCGCGATGCTCTGCGCCGGATCCGTACGCGCCAAAAACACGATGAACATAATGCTAACAAATGTAATCGACGCCGCCGCCGGAGGTCTCTTCTATTACCTCTTCGGCTTCGCCTTCGCCTACGGATCGCCGTCCAATGGATTCATCGGAAAACATTTCTTCGGAATGAGCGATTTCCCTAAACCTTCCTTCGACTATCCTTACTTCCTCTATCAATGGACTTTCGCCATCGCCGCCGCCGGAATCACCAGCGGATCTATCGCCGAGAGGACTCAATTCGTCGCTTACTTGATCTATTCCTCTTTCCTCACCGGTCTCGTTTACCCAATCGTATCTCATTGGTTCTGGTCTTCCGATGGTTGGGCTTCTCCAGCTAGATCCGATAACCTTCTGTTTCAATCAGGTGTCATCGATTTCGCCGGATCCGGCGTCGTTCACATGGTCGGAGGTATAGCCGGTCTTTGGGGAGCGTTAATCGAAGGACCGAGAATCGGCCGGTTCGACCATGGAGGTAGACCGGTTACGCTCCGTGGTCACAGCGCAACGCTTGTCGTACTCGGTACGTTTCTCCTCTGGTTCGGTTGGTACGGGTTTAACCCCGGTTCGTTCGTCACTATTTTCAAATCGTACGGAGAATCACCGGGAAGCTCCTTTTACGGTCAATGGAGCGCCGTCGGAAGAACCGCCGTTACAACGACGTTGGCTGGTTGCACGGCGGCGTTAACGACTCTGTTTGGGAAAAGACTCATCGATGGGTATTGGAATGTAACCGATGTATGTAACGGTTTGCTCGGCGGGTTTGCGGCTATAACCAGCGGTTGCTCGGTGGTTGAACCGTGGGCAGCGGTTATCTGCGGGTTTGTAGCCGCGTGGGTTTTGATGGGATTTAACAAACTAGCTGATAAGGTTAGATTCGACGATCCTTTAGAAGCGGCTCAGCTTCACGGTGGATGTGGCGCGTGGGGGATTATTTTCACCGGATTGTTCGCTGATAAAACTTATGTATCGGAGATATACGGTGGAGATCCGAATAGACCGTACGGGCTGTTGATGGGAGGAGGAGGGAGGTTGCTTGCGGCGCACGTTGTACAGATTCTGGTGATTACTGGTTGGGTGAGTTTGACGATGGGGACGTTGTTTTTTGTGTTGCATAAGCTGAAACTGTTGAGGATACCGTCGGAGGATGAGATCGCCGGGATGGATCCGACGAGTCATGGTGGGTTGGCTTATAGGTATACGGAAGATGAGATCAAGAATGGGATTATGGTGAGGATGGGTGATGGTGAACATGATCAGGGACGAGTACGTGGTCTTTGAAGATTTATTTTGTTTTTGATTTTTTTTTCCTTGTTATTTTGATCTCTGTATATATTCTGTTATGTTTTGCTCTTTTGCATGGGAGTAAATGAATATATATGTTACTTCCTTATTTTATTTTTTTTTTCCTTAACTATAGTACTAAAATTCTTCTTTTCTCAATTCTCACCAATAAATTAGGGTAAAATGGTTAAGTGGTAAGCCCTCGAATATTTTGGGATTAACGCAAAAAATGACTTTTTGTTTCAAAAAATCATCTTCGATTGAAAAAGCCAGAAATATGAAAATACGCGGAAGAAGAAAATTATTAATGAAAAGCATGAGTTAATAATCTATGTTATACTAGAACTTCCAACTACCACCAACTAAAAGTTGTCAAGTTATTTCACATTTTAACTAAATTTATGGGCTACCACTAAAACAGCGGGCCTCTAAAACAACAATTGGGGCCCAGGTGGTTGCGCCCAGGACCGATTCTAGTTACACAATGGTACGGAGCTGGTTTGCCATGATGTTCATATATTCTTCTTGTTAATCATAATGTTTTTCTTTTATTATTATTTTAATTTTAAAATATAATGTTGTAGTTGGACTTGTGATAAACCGATACATTTCTTTAAAATATGTTTGGGTTTCAATATATTAATCATCATTTTAAAAATATTTAAATATGATATAACCAAAATAATATGTTGACATATAATTTGTATAGACTTGACTTGATTCGCGTGGTTCTAATCTTTCAAATTAAATGTCGCACCTCAATAAACTGGTTTTATTATAAATAAAAATTATGTATATTTAACACAACATCTTACACAAGTAGTATTTTAATATTAAAAAATAATTTAGACCTTTTTTTGTCAACTGATAATTTAGACCTTATTTTTTAACGTATTAAATACTAGATAGTATTGGACATTATTATTATTAAAATATAATAAGACACGTCCGGAATGAGACAGAAGTACAAAGGACAAGATTCATCATCCCATGCCAAAAAACTGACAATCAAAAAGCAAATTCAGAAACAAACACTCGCTCACACGGGAATTGGAAGAGAGAGATAAATGGCCAAAATATTAGTAATGTTATCAAATCAAATGTCGAAAGAGATCAGATAAGTAAATTACGTAAAGTTTTAAATTGCTACAAACTAGATCTGGACATAAATACTTATTACTTGTCTGGTACTCATTACTTATCCCATACTCGACTTAATAAAACAAGTACTTGTTGTTGTTAAGTTAAATAACAAATCAACAAATTTTATTACTTGCAAATACGAGTCAAGTATTAAGTTTTTATTTTTAATACTTGTCTTGTTACTTGTCTTATTAATTGATACTTGTTACTTATTAAAATAAATACTTGCTACTTGTTACTAAATACTTGTTACTTATTTAATTTTAATAACAAAATCTATAATAGATAATAAAATCTAAAAATTAAACCCAAAAACTATCAAAATTTTTTAAAAACTCTATTTGTTACAAATTATATGGTGGCCTTAAGATTCATAATCACATACACATAAGCTTTTGATATTAAAGTCCAAAAACCCAAATGTAATTTACCATTGTCGATATAGGATTTTTCTTAATATGCACTAAAGATTCAAATATCAAGTATTTCAAATTCAAGTATAAAATATTCAAAATTTTTACGAGTACTTGAAATAACAAATACTTGTTATAACCGGGTCAAATACAAATAATAAATCTAATTACTTGAATGAATCAAGTTAAGTAATAAGTACATGAAATTTAGCAAATACTTGTCCCGTGCTCAGCCCTACTACAAACCTCCTGCATCAATGACACATTTCATTAAAATCATCTGACTTTTGAGTATACTTATCTTTTACTCATGTGTTTTAGTTTTTATCCTTTTTATATTACGTACTAAAGATGTTTTTACCAAATAAAATGGTCCTCAAAACGTAATTTTAACAATATTGACAACTACATAATTTTATTTTCTTTTCTTACAGTTACTAAAACTCAAAGCAACCTTATACTATCATTATCGCAGATCCTTAAAAGAGTTTTTTGGGTATTTTTTCATTAAATTAAAAATAAAACAATTATTATGCCTGAAACCAGTTCTTATTTGGGATATTTTAGAATCGATTCTTATGTACAAGTGTCATATTTACATTGGCTAGCAAATTTTTCATCCCTTTCTCTTTCTTCCTTCTACCCCTTAACGATTTCTCTCTCTTTCTTTTTTCTTTTTTCATTTCCCAAATTTAAAAATAAAATATTAAATAAAAAACCCAGCGATAGTGACGCTCTTACATCCTAAATCTTCAGTGTTGTGAGAATCTTACATTCAACTATTGAAGTTTTTGTGTTTTCTTCGTATTTTAAGGTTTTTTGTTTGGTTTGTCCTTGAAACAGAAAGGATATAAGTTAGCTGTAATTTGTAGGGAAAAATTACACGAGGGGCCTGATCGCAAAGATATGGAAAGGAGACAAAAATCAAAAGTGGCTACAAAATAACTTAAGAGTATTTATGTCGGTATCTTCGAGAACCATTGATTCCCTTATCTAGTCAGATACTGCACTATCCACAACCAGTCATTTTTCGCCACGTGATGGTCAGATTCCTCAGTCAAACTTTGACCAGTGGAACCAAAATAACACATGCATGTCACTTAAAATATGATAAAATATACAAAGGTTTAATTTAGAGAAATACCCTAGGTTTAGATGCTCCTCTGTCGACAGCAAATTTTTTTTATATAGTTTTAATTCGTTTTATATCAGGAAACTAAAATACCATCTAAAACTATATATTGCAAGATTATCATACTGAATTATATATATACTAATAACAATAACAGCTAAATGATATAATTGATCAGTAGATCGTATCATTTTTATTGTGTATTTGATTTACATTGTAATTCTAGATTCATAGATGATATATGGCTACAAATTTAATTTGATCACAACAGAATAAGTGTATAACCACAAATAATTATTAAAATCTCTCGGTCATACAAAAGGAAAATTTAACACATGATAAAAGCAGATACTGTCTAAGTCTATCCTTTTATCCTCTGATATCATCGTCATCATCATCATTCATTATTGGGGTAATCTGTTTTTTTTTTTCGTTCTTTATTTTCTCTAGTTAGTAGAGATATTTTCCCTTTCTTACTGCACCCATCTCTTGACTGAATAAATACGTCAAAAGAAAGCCTTAACAACTACACACTCTCATACTTATCTCATCTTATGTTTTCTCATTTCTCTCCTCTCTATTTTGATATTTTGAAAATAAAAACACTAGATTGAAAGAGAAGGAGATAACAGTAAATGGCAGATCAAAATCCAAGAATCATCGTCGAGAAAAACCCGTCTCAAGCTCGTCTTGACGAACTAAACATCAAGTCATGGCCCAAGTAAGATCGATTCTCCTTTTAATTCTTGTTCTCTTTTATCCGGTTGTGTGAGATCGATTTGGCCAAAGTTGCTTATGAATCAAAATTGAAAATTTGTTTTATTTTTTTTGTTGTTCTTGTGGAATGAAGGTGGGGATGTTCACCAGGGAAATATCATTTGAAATATGAAGCAGAAGAGATATGTTACATTGTGAAGGGTAAAGTTAAGGTTTACCCTAAACAATCATCATCATCATCATCACCACTGGATGCAGAAGTAGAGTGGTGTGTAGAGTTTGGGGCAGGTGATATTGTCACTTTTCCAAAGGGACTCTCTTGTACTTGGGATGTTTCTCTCTCTGTTGACAAACACTATATATTTCTCCACCATTCTTCTTCTTAGGTTTTTTTTTCTTCTTCTTTTATATTCTTTATTTTTGATTTTCTATAATTCGTATAATGCTTTGTGTTGCTTTTGTCGTTTTTATCTAATAAGAAAATATCAATGCACTGCCAATGGCATAATTCAAACTTGGGTAAACCTCATATACACGGATAGTCCTGATATAAGTTTTAGGATATTGTCAAAAATTTATCATTCTATAAAACTAGGGCAAAGAAAAACTTAAGTTTGGAAGTTAAAATTATTTGTTTAAGCGTAATCATGTGTGTGATATTTTAAGTTGATTCAAGTGTTTGGAGTTTCTTGAAACGTAAACGTTGGATTCTCTTTAGTCAACAAGAGGTGATCTTCTTTATTTGTCCTTTTATGCCTCTACAATAATGATTTTTCATGTTAAGATCCGCTGACCAGTCAACGTTCCATACCTTTTTAGCTTTAGGCAAAGCATCTCATATTTTATCATATAAACTTTATTTTGACGGTACTCAATAGTTCTGCTACATTTTGTACTTGGTGAAACATACGTTTGAATTTGGTTAACGGAAAAGAAAGGAAAAATGTTTCACCTTATTTCTTTTCAGAATTTTGGTAGTTGTTTAATCAGCAAGATTCAGCATGGGAAAACAAAATTCGTAGAAAAGTTCTTGCTACATTTTGTACAGAAGTCAATGATAACCATCATTATGTCCATTTTATTTTAATATATTTGTCAATATTAATGTGTGATTACCATTAACTACGCAAGAATATTTAAAATCTTCAACAAAAAGAATAGTACTATTTAAAATCAAGATCACACATATCATATTTAGGTCAAATTTATTTGATTAATTATATTCTTTAATAAATGTGTTACCATTAAATTTGTTACCATAATTGGTTTAACATACTACCCACAAAAGAAACATATTTACGGACATCACCAAGGAAAGATGAATTAATGCGATCCTGTGAGATAGACTTTTGACTAAGAAATTGATTATCACCATAGAAAAAGAAAGAAACACTAATACCTTAACGAATAAACATGGATACGTAATCACACCGCCTAACTGTTTTTCTAATAGAAGGCAAAAAATAAAATAAATTCGATAAAATCGCTGGTGTTTAGGTAGTGGCGTTGGCTTGGTTTTTCTAAAAGAAGTTAAATTTTGCATTTTTAAACCGATTAACCTTGGAAAGATGATTTACAGTATGTTCCAAAATGATATTATTCATGGCCAAAATCATACTATTAATGGTTGGTTCCAAGCCAAAAACTTTTAAAACCTTGGTTATAATTAAAAAAAAAAACCTAAATAGTTGGTGTGGGCTAGAGATATTGACTCGGTTCCTCTGCCAAAAATATTAGAACTTTACACTTCTAAGTTCGATCCATTAGAGAGAATGATTTACATCCACAAAAGCGTATTACCAAATGCTGATTTCCGGACTTAGAAAAACAATGGGCCAAAAGTGTGGAATTTGAGAAAAACCTTCTAACTTTTTGTGTATGTGTGTGTAAAAAACTAAAAAATAGCTTTCAAATTAAATTTCAGAAAATAAAATATGCAGCCTAGCCAGACGATTGTTTTTGGGTTTGGCCCAATAGTAGAGACTACAATTGAATCCTGACTGTAGAGTCAACCTACTTACTTGAAAGGTTATGGACCTCTGGTACACACTTAATGGAATTGTAAACCGAATTTCAGCTGGTTCTCGGTTCAATCGATGAAACCGATATTAGCTTCTGACACTCTCTACACACAGAAATGGTGGCACACCTCACTCTTTCTCTCTCTCTCTCCTCTCTCAGTATAATAAATTACAAAGAAAGGCCGAAGAAATGCTCTGCTTCACTCACGTCGCACCTCTTCCTCTATTCTCCAGCATCTCTCTTCCTGCCTCCCTTCACTTCAAGAGGTCGCTTTCTCAGTTTTTTCCCGAGCATCAATTTCTTAACTTCTGCTCCTTACCGAATTTCTGATACCAGATTATATCCTCTCTTTCTGTATGGCTCAGTTTCAGGACTAGGATGTCTTCTTCTTCTTCCTCCATCGATTCAGCTCCTCCTCCTCATCCGCCGGATAATGGCATCGTTGTGAGTATTTGAGCCTCCTCCATTGTTTTGGAGTTTGACTTGAATCGCGCTTTATTAGGAGATTGCCGTGTTCGTGTGATTTTTGGCAGCTTGGTTGTGGTGGGATCGCTGTGGATTTCTTGGCGACGGTGGATTCTTATCCTCAACCCGACGACAAGATCCGAAGCACTAGCCTCAAGGTAGCCATTCCCCCATCCACCACATACGGTCTTCAATTTTGATTGTGATTTTGTGTTTTAGGTTCAAGGTTGATGATGTGTTTTGCAATTTTCAGGTGCAAGGAGGGGGAAATGCTGGAAACGCGTTGACCTGCGCAGCTCGTCTGGGCTTGACTTCGAGGCTGATTAGTAAGGTAATGATTCGTATGTTTGGCATGAACAAGATTCAACAATCGAGTATGTCATTAGTATTGATTAACTGTAATTAGGTAGCAAATGACTCCCAAGGAAAAGAAATATTAGAGGAGCTGGAATCTGATGGTGTTGATACTTCCTTTCTTGTGGTAATGTTGAACCACTTGATCATCCACAGTATTTAGGATCTTGTGATTTTTGTCTTTATTTTTCTTTTCTTGCGAATGATTGATGTTTTTCATCTAATCTGATCTCATTCCAGGTCTCTAAAGAGGGCAATACACCTTTTACCTACATCATTGTTGATAAACAAACGTGAGCGTTTTGCCCTGTTGTTGTTTGTGAATTTGCGGACATGTTTCAGATTGTAAAGAAGTGCTGTTTGACCTTTTTTTTTGGTTTATTGGTTTTCCATGTTGTTTGATTCCTTTTGTGTCATATCTGTCCAGGAAAACGCGTACTTGTATTCATACGCCTGGAGAGCCACCCATGGTACCGACTGACCTTTCTGAATCTAGCATGTTATCAGCTCTAGACAGAGCAAGCATCGCATACTTTGATGTAAGATTACACGAAACCGCATTGGTGATTGCAAAAGAGGTAAGCATGCATCTCTTTACCTTTCTAATGTGGTTTCTAGGCATAGCTGTGCTTCAACTCATGCCTTTATTTGTTTCTTGATTTTCTCCCAAGTACAACAAAACAAGGGTGAGCTGTATGTATGCCACACAACCTACATGTTTATTTCCTCCTGTGCTTGTTGCGTTTATCCAGAGCAGGCAGCTCGGAAGAAGATACCTATTTTGGTTGATGCAGAGAAGAAAAGAGAAGGATTAGACGATCTCTTGCAGCTCGCCGATTACGTTGTCTGCACAGCAAAGTTCCCTCAGGTAAGTTAGTTTTCGTTTCTAATCTTTTTCTTTTCAACATCTTTCCTCAGCTTTTGAGGCTGAAAATTCGGCGTCTCTCACGTCTCACAGGCATGGACAGAAGCGTCTTCAACTCCAGGTGCACTTGTTTCCATGTTGTTGAGATTGCCAAAACTGAAGTTTGTGATCGTGACCTTAGGTGAAGAAGGATGCGTAATGCTTCAAAGAGCTTCAAAAGGTAAAACACCCGAGAATTCATGTCATTCACTAAAGATCAAAACTATTTCCATCATCCTTTCACCGGGTTACCAACATCCTTAGTCTCTGTCTACTTCAACAGAAGATTCAGAATCCAAAGAGACAGACATCGAGAAATTGTTGGAGACACTAAAGCATAAAACAGGCTCAACCGCCACATTTCCAACATGCGTTTCATCGGTAACAAACGTCCAAAATAACTTACTTGTCACTCACTCACTCATATGAAGACACTAGACACTCCAACTTTTCCACATATTTTCTTGCAGGAGACAACAAAACTGAAGGCTAGCGGGATAGGAACGGTGAGCGGAAGATTGTTTCTCGGAACAGCAGAGCAAATTCCTCCAGAAGATCTCGTTGACACCACCGGTGCAGGGGACGCATTCATAGGAGCGGTTCTATATGGTAAAAGATTGTAAAGATTCTATATAAACTCCCTGAGAAATCAGATTCCAACATATTCTTAAACATTTATTGACTTATCTTTACTTGTTTCCTCGATCTGTAGCCATATGTGCCCGCATGCCCCCAGAGAAAATGTTACCGTTCGCTGCTCAAGTGGTAAGTCTCCCAAAACCAAAAACATATTCCACAGAAGCTCTGTTTGTTTTCACCAATGCATATGAACCGTCAACCATACACATGTTTTCGCCAATATAGATCATGTGAATCTTCCGGATAACCGAACTTCCTAATCCGAATACGAAACCCAACAACACGTGAATTTACTGGTTGTTGTCGTGTGAGACTCTTATAAATGGCCATTGTTTCTAGCTTCATTGAACCATCGTCATCAGTCCAACAAAAGGCTCTTTTCCATAACATTTCCAGACCAAAATTATTGTAATCTGTAACCATGTTATTGTATCGCAGGCTGCATGCAAATGCCGAGCTTTGGGAGCTCGAACCGGTCTTCCTCGCCGTACTGATCCGCGACTTGCACCCTTTCTGGTTTGACAAATCTAATGTCAACTCTACTCTTCTTCCGAGTCACTGACTTGATCGGCCACTTTCATATGTTAAAACTTTCTACGTATAAAATATATTAAGGCTTGGTGTCAAATACTAATATCAGATTTTATCCCAAAAAAAAAACTTATATCAGTTTAGTTTGACTTGAGATGATAAAAGAAAGACATATACTCCACTAGGAAGGAAGAAGTGGCGTTATTCTAAACTAGTAAATTGCTAACCAATGTGAACGTGTCAACCTTGTTGATCGCGTCCGTAAAGGCGTCTAATATATCGAACGGCTAAGATCGCACCGGAAGCTAATTGAGAAGATAATCTCAGCCATTGACTGCTCCAATTCCAAAGGGTGAATCGCTACGCTCACGTGCTATCATTTTCGTGCGTCCTTCACTGCTCTCTCCACTTGTCGATGTTAATTAAAACACACTAAAAGACAAGATCAAAATCTGATTTGTCGATTCCACGCGCCTCTCTGATTGGCTACTACCATGGACCCATTGCCGTGTCCTTAACAAGCTTAATGACGGCGTGATGATCGGCCGTGTGTGTGAACCGTAAAATAAGCAAATGTTTTACGTCAAAAAAGAACTAACACTAGTCTACCTGACCACCAAATTGCCACGTGGCGTTCCCTTAATGTGTTTCTTAAATTCATCCATCACCTGATTCTAGACCGTTCTCTTCTTCTTCATCACCCACAGTCAAAAAAATTTCCAAGTCTTGGAACTTGGAAGTGAAATCTTCCTTAATGGAATCAAGCCCATCCCTTAGTTTTTTTTTAACTCCAATTAGTGAAAACAAAGATTAGTATCAATTCCTTAAATTTCCTCCTTGGCATGTTGGCAAGTGACGACAACTCTACCAAGTACCAACTACAAATTCCCAATTCCCAAGACCGAGTCGATTTTGACAACAAGGCCGGAGAGATGAACTTAATAGTGAGAGATGAACTTAATAGTGAGAGCTTCAACAATTTTGTTAGAGTTAATTAGTTTTTCTTTGGCAAAAAATTTAGAAAGTAGAGTATTTAGATCTTTAATGAAAAAAATAAAAAGTATTTCAATGACAAAGATGTAAAGTAAGATTTCATTTTTGTGATTTTTCCCATATATATAGGATTATACTGTCCTATTAGGTAAGTTCAATTAAGATATTTCTAATAGAAATATGTTTCACTTATCTTTAAGTACCAATTTTTTTATAACTTCTTTATTTAAGGTTTTTCTGACTGTGCTTAAAATACTTTTTTCTAATCAATTACATGCATTATGTGAATTTGGATTTGGTGACACACTGACAACATTAACATAAACTAAAGTTATTTTGTTGTTATCAATTATATTTACAAAATATTTGTAATGATGATAAATCAGTAGAAAAAACTATAAAAGCGTATTTTATCTATTGGCAACAAGTTGTTTTTTTTTCCTCTAAATAAGATTACATTATTATTATTCTTTGGGCAAATTTCATTGTGATTTGATTTTTGGTCAACACAAGATCAAAGATTAGTAATTACATTGTCTTATATTAGCTTTTCCATTACAAAAACCAGAAAGCTAGTTGTTGACATATTATTTCTGTAGAATTAGAAAAAAGAATGGAAGAAGAGAGAGTGTGGACCAATAATTTATTAGCTTAAGTCATTAAGGGTAGGTACCTTAGGAATTGAATGGTAAATTAACGCTTACTTACCTTAATTACAGAGTAAAAGCTACGACGACTAATCACTATTGCTCACAGAAATTGGAAAAGAAAGATAGAAGAAAATCTATAGAAAATAAACAACTATGTATATATAGAGGGAAAAAACAACGAAAGCGTCTCTATAGAAAAAAAAAAAAAAAAACAGACCAGAAGAGGGGCTTAGGATTTCTCCTCGAGCAGATTTGAAATTTTTTAATTTTTCTTTGCTTGAAGAATTCCAAGCTTCTTATACTCCCATTTGATTCAATCGCATTTCTGGGAATTTTTGTTTATTGTTCTTAGAATTATTTCTGGGTTTTCAAGTTGCAGAGTTCGTCTGCTCCTTGCGTAAGTTACGTACAGACATTTACCGTCGTTTGAATTTGTGAACGATCATCTGTTATCGGCGGATTCTCATGCGTTTAGATCCAAAAGCAAGCAAAAATTGTTTCTGATCTGATAAATCTCCGGTGGAAATGGTATTTCACTTATTGTTTCTGTCATTTTCTGGGTTTATTTGCGTTCACATTCCAGAGAGGGTTTTAAGTTTCGGAGTATCCTATCTCTATTGCGATTGTGTTCTTCTTATAATTGAATTATTCTGCTTGTTTTGATAAGTAGCTATATTGTTGACTGATCCGTGGGTGGACTAAAATTTTGGAGATTTTTCTATGATCTGTTTCTTCGAATTGGATTTATTAGAACGCCTAAATTAGTTTCATGCACAGTTTGATCCTTGGGGGATGTAGAGTTCTAGCTAAAATCCGAAAAATCGGATGAGAAGACTTTTGATTGATTCACGATTGACTTGATGTCGCAAGACTGATTTACTAGAATGGTTGAGCTGGACCTCACGTTAGAGACTAGAGTATGTAATGCTCCTCGAGTTCTCTTTCAAAGAGTGATTTTTCCTGTCGTAACTTTAACCTTGAACAGTTTCTAGCCTCTTGCTGTAGTAGATATGGACCAAATGGTGTGTCACTAGTTTGGAGGGAATATGCTCAGAGTACATATTAGGAGTTCAAATACATTTGTGAAGATAGAGTTATCTGAAATGTTGGTTTTGCAGGCTTGTACTACTGTTAATGTGGGCTCTTTAGTTTGGATCGAAGATCCAGAGGAGGCATGGATAGACGGTGAAGTTATCGAGGTTAAAGGAAATGATATTAAGGTCCAGTGTACCTCAGGGAAGACGGTATGTTTAACCAATTTGAATCATTAATTTTATACAGGGATTAAGTTTATTTAAAGCGACTTTGCTTATCTTATTGGAAATTCTCAGGTGGCTGTTAAAGTTTCAAATGCCTACCCAAAAGATGTCGAAGCTCCTGCTTCTGGAGTGGATGATATGACAAGGCTAGCATATTTACATGAACCAGGAGTCCTCCAAAATATGAAATCAAGATTTGATATCAACGAAATATATGTGAGTATCTCATTGAATTTCATTACAAACGAGTTTTCTACATATACATTTAAAATTTACTTTGTTGGCTGAAGCTTCTTGAACGTCAATATTTCTTCCACTTTGTTAGGCATATGCGCTGATATATGTTTTCTTCCAGACTTACACAGGGAATATTCTAATTGCTGTAAACCCTTTTAGAAGACTACCACATCTATATAACAACCATATGATGCAACAATATAAAGGTGCAGCCTTTGGAGAACTGAGCCCCCACCCTTTTGCAGTTGCTGATGCAGCTTACAGGTGCCTGACATGTAACTTTGGAGTCTTTCTTTTTTCTCCTTTTGCCACTGGTTGTTTCCTGTTTGACGTTCCTTGGCTTGTTTTCCATTGGCGGCAGACAAATGATAAATCAGGGGATTAGTCAATCAATCTTGGTAAGTGGTGAAAGTGGAGCAGGGAAGACTGAGACTACTAAATTGCTCATGCAATATCTGGCAGACATGGGAGGTCGAGCTGTTTCTGAAGGAAGGACAGTCGAAAAGAAAGTTTTGGAGGTTATCCATGGCCTATCTTTTATATAGACCTTCTGGATATTTTCAGTCAGTTTTTGTTGATGTTGCAACGAAAATCATTCTTAAATATGTTTATGTTTCTTTTTATGTAGTCCAACCCTGTTCTAGAAGCATTTGGAAATGCAAAGACCGTTAGGAACAACAATTCAAGGTGAAAATAGTATAAACAAATACATATTGTGTGTGTACACACTTTTCCATTTCTTCTTGTGTAGGATATCCTTTCACCTACTGAATCATGTTCATGCTCATTATAATGTTGCAGTCGATTTGGTAAATTCGTGGAGATTCAGTTCGATCAAAGGGGCAGGATATCAGGAGCTGCTATCAGGACTTATTTGTTAGAGAGGTCGCGGGTTTGCCAGGTCTCAGATCCTGAGAGGAATTATCACTGTTTTTACATGCTCTGTGCTGCACCACCTGAGGTACATATGGCCCCTCTCTCCTTTTAAAATGCTTCCCAGAACTTCTGAGTGCTCTTCTTGCTGGAGTCGTGAGAACCTGATCTCGTATTTGAAATAGCTTTGTATTAGACTTTGCTCTTTACTGGTAACTATGTTAATATATTCAATAGTATATAAGTTTTTTTAACCTTAATTGCTTGTATATGTTTGGTTAACGTTTATTGAAAGTCAGTTGGAAGTATCATTTAAATGGCGGAGTCTTCCATTAAGGATGTGTCATCGAAATTCTTGCCTTCATGTTTTCTCCCTTTTATTTCTTAATAAGGACATAAAAAAATGGAAATTGGCGGATCCAAGAACATTTCATTACCTGAATCAATCTCAATGCATTGAGTTGGAGAGAATGGATGATTCGAAGGAGTATCATGAAACTAGAAAGGCAATGGATGTTGTTGGGATAAATTCAGAGGAGCAGGTAAGTTTTCTTTTTTTTGCTGTCATTTTTTAGTTGAAATTACGGTGTGACATATGAGTGTCTTTTGATACAAATCTGATGTCAGGAAGCAATATTTCGAGTTGTGGCTGCTATTCTTCATCTAGGCAACGTGGAATTTGGAAAAGGAAAAGAAGCAGACTCGTCAGCCCCAAAAGATGAGAAGTCCTACTACCATCTGAAGACTGCGGCTGAGCTTTTCATGTGAGTAACTAATTGATTATCTATGATTTTGAAAGTTGAAAAGCGCCCTTCCTGAAACTGGTTCATTTAATATGGAATAAAGAAGTCATACCTGACTCCATGGATTTCAACAGGTGCGATGAGCAGGCTCTCGAAGATTCTCTTTGTAAACGTGTGATTGTGACACGTGATGAAAACATTACGAAATGTCTGGATCCAGAATCTGCGGCCCTAAGCAGAGATGCATTGGCAAAAACTGTGTACTCAAGATTGTTTGATTGGTATGTCTACTATTAATACATTCAAATTTTTGGTAGTGCTTCTCTTTCTTTGCAGACATGCAAACTTAGTTTTAATTTTCTTAATTTTCTTAATTTTCTCTATTGCTCTTTCAGGATTGTGAACAAGATCAATGATTCAATTGGACAAGATCCTGATTCAAAATATTTGATTGGAGTGCTGGATATATATGGATTTGAGAGTTTCAAGACAAACAGGTGCTTAAGCGGTATGCCTTATGTTTAATAAGGGAAAGGAACCACTTTAGAGAAATACTATGGAACTTCACATGATAGTTCTGTTATTTAGTTTGTCTATGGATTTCTAGTTTTAGTAAGCAATGGAAAGGGTAGTAAATATATCTCAACTCCTAGAAGTTTTCGGATATCAAGTGAAAGGGACAACCAAAGCTTTTAATAATTACCTAACGAGGGACCTTTCCAACTTTTTAGCTGACATATATTTTAAAAGGAAGTTAAAATATCAAATGGATTTTGCTTGTGTTTTCCTTAAAAAATGCTTTGTATTGCATGCGCTCTGCAGTTTTGAGCAATTCTGCATCAACTTGACGAATGAGAAACTTCAGCAACATTTCAATCAGGTTTGTCTTAGGTTTGTTCTTCTTCAGATAGCTGCCAGTGTTCAGCCTGATTAATCCCTTATAATTATCCATGTTTTTTTTTTCTCGGGCAGCACGTCTTCAAAATGGAACAAGATGAATATAATAAAGAAGAAATTGATTGGAGCTACATTGAATTCGTAGATAATCAAGATATTTTGGACCTTATTGAAAAGGTTGCTAGTTTCTCTATGTTTGATCTGTACCTCTTACTGCGTATTATTTGTTAAACACTATTCGTAATTGTTTTTCATGTCTCAGAAACCTGGCGGTATCATTGCTCTCCTGGATGAGGCTTGGTATGGCTCTAAGAACTTGAATTAATATTGGTCAGCGTGTGTTTTCTCTTCCTTCCTTCATTTCAAAATTTCCTTCATGTATCTTCAGCATGTTCCCAAGATCAACACATGAAACATTTGCTCAAAAGATGTATCAAACGTTCAAAGATCACAAGCACTTTAGTAAGCCAAAATTAGCTCGTACTGACTTCACAATTTGCCACTATGCTGGTGATGTGAGTATAGATTTGGTTCAACGTTCTGAATATATAATGCAGTATTGTCCCTAAAAACTAGTTGTTCATACCCTAATTTGTACTCAATCATACTTTCAGGTCACTTATCAGACCGAACAGTTCCTGGAAAAGAACAAAGATTATGTTGTTGCCGAGCACCAGGCTCTGCTAAATGCTTCGAGGTGCACCTTTGTTGCACGTCTCTTCCCTCTTCTTGCAGAAGATGCTAACAAAAAGTCAAAGTTCTCTTCGATTGGTTCACGATTTAAGGTGCAGTAAATGAGGTAGTTTTACGCAAATTGTCTGCTTAGTCTCATGACTACTGAAGCTACTTTCTTACTCAATGCAGCAACAATTGGTGACATTGCTTGAAACGCTGAGTACTACTGAGCCTCACTATATTCGTTGCGTGAAGCCCAATAATCTTCTGAAGCCTTTGATCTTTGAGAACCAAAATGTTTTGCAACAGCTACGTTGTGGGGTGGGATTTCCATATTTTTGTTTTTCTAACAAATGTGCTTGTTATAGTTGCATGCAAGTTTTAAATTCTGAATAAACATATCTTTCAGGGTGTGATGGAGGCAATCAGGATTAGCTGTGCTGGATTTCCTACTAGAAAACAATTTGAAGAATTCCTAGACAGATTTAGTTTACTTGCTCCTGAAGTTTTGGATAAGAGGTTTCCCTCTCTTTAATTTAGTGTTTGGAAACTTACCTAGACGTTGAAAACATTTTAACTTTTGGTTGGCCTCTTTCTAGTTCTGATGATGTAGCTGCCTGTAAGAAACTTCTTGAGAAGGTTGAACTCCAAGGATACCAGGTACATTCTGAAGAGCCATGTTTTGAATACTTTGGAATCTGGCCGACCTTTGAAACTCTGATGAAAAGCACCTGATTGATCTTTTTTTTTTTTTTCCAGATTGGTAAGACGAAGGTTTTCCTTAGGGCTGGACAGATGGCTGACTTGGATGCTCGGAGGAATGAGGTCTTAGGCAGAGCAGCCAGCACCATCCAGAGGAAATTCCGCTCCTACTTGTCCCGCAAAACTTTTGTGATGCTCCGCAAGGTTGCAATAAACATGCAGGCTGTGTGCAGAGGTACTTTAAAGTTGAAAAGAATAATATTCGACCTTTAGTACTCAGGCAATTAGAAATGTTACTTATTATTCAGTCTCTGTTTTGGTTTCTGCAATTTATAGGTCAACTTTCTCGACATATCTTCGAGGGATTGCGCAGAGAAGCTGCTGTTTTGGAGATCCAGAGAGACATACGGATGCACCTTGCTAGGAAGTCTTACAATGGATTATATTTTGCATCTGTTTCCATTCAATCAGGAATACGTGGTATGGCTTCCCGTGACGAGTTACGGTTCCAAAGGCAGAACAAGGCGGCAATTATGATTCAGGTGTTGTACACGTTCCTGTTGAAAAATGGTGAAAGACAACATGTTTTTTTCTTTCTTGTTTGGTTAATCTACTAGATGTCTCAAGCTTTTCATCTTTCTCCCAAATTTCTTGTTTTGAATTTGTTCTCGTTTTATATAACAGAGCCATTGCCGCAAGTTCCTGGCCCAGTTGCATTACCAGAGGCTAAAGAAAGCAGCAATTACAACACAAAGTGCATGGAGAGCAAGGTTAGCCCGTAAAGAACTGCGGAAGCTTAAGACGGTGAGCTCTCTTTTCACTTCTGTGTGTATCCTCTTTTTTTGTATCAGTTCTCATTCTAAGCGTAGTATATGGCACTTGCAAACTTCAGATAATGGATTCAAATGAGCTAATATAGTGAGAATGTATGCGCTTAGGAAATGGATTAGGTGGGGTTTTATAATTGAGCTAGCTCTTTTGTTGCGATTGCTAGCAGCTTGAAATTACCCTTGCTAATTGAGGGTCTTCGAAATTTAGGCAGAACATGTTGGCCTTTCGCAAAATATGAGTAGTTGTACCAATGATGCCTTCATATTTCCTGCAGGCTGCAAAGGAAACGGGAGCCCTTCAAGCTGCCAAGAATAAGCTTGAGAAACAATTGGAAGAACTCACATGGAGACTGCAGCTAGAGAAACGAATGAGGGTAAGTTAATAGATAACACTTTATCTCTTTTGGTTTGCATCTTATCCTTCAAATATTTTCATTCCAAAAGCTTTTCCCTGGAATAACTAAATTCGGATATTTAACATATCCGTCATCTATGTTCTGTGGATTTGACGATTTAGATGGACATGGAAGAAAGTAAAACACAAGAAAATGCAAAACTGCGATTATCATTGGAGGAAATGCAACTTCAATTCAAGGAAACCAAAGCCTTGCTCTTACAGGAAAAGGAAGCTGCTAAAAAGACAGCAGAAATCGTTCCTGTGTTGCAGGAGGTTCCTGTAGTTGACACAGAGCTAGTGGAGAAGCTAACTAGTGAAAACGAAAAGCTCAAGGTAGGAAATCAGCTCTGTTCTTTTTTTTTCCTTTTTTTTTCCGTCTATCAAGGATATCAAAGCTGTGATATATTTGAAGGAGGGTTTCATATTTCCTTTACTTCTCATTTGGTTTCATATTTCCTTTATTTCTCATTTGGTTTCAGTCCCTGGTAAGTTCATTGGACCAGAAGATTGATGAAACAGAGAAAAAATTCGAGGAGACAAGCAAAATAAGTGAGGCGAGGCTGAAGCAGGCTTTAGAGGCAGAAACTACAATTGTTAATTTGAAAAAAGCTGTGCACGAGTACCCACTATACATCTCTGAGTCTCTTAATGAATTTACCAAAGATCCCATTGGCATTCAATATTAAGCACATTTTTTGTTCACATGTTCATTTGCAGACTTCAAGAAAAGATCTTGGATGTGGAATCTGAAAACCAAATATTGAGGCAGAAATCCCTCTTACACACATCAGGAAATCTCCCTCCGACTCCGGTTAAGGTATATCTCAGAAAAAATATACTTGGATTACTACGCAATCATGAATTAAAGTAATGCTCTCCTACTTGCAGAACTCACAAAATGGTTACTTTTCTAGTAAAGAAAGTCTGGTCAATGTAAGTCGTGTCTTGCTTTTCTATCCCTTTCCCCTGAACTATGTTCCATCTGTTTGTATGTCGTTAAATGACATCTGTGCAGGGATCTGAGACTGAAACACCAACAAGAGCCCAAGAACAAGAATCTGATGCAAAGAATCGGAGATTGCAAATAGAACGTCAACATGTATGTTGTTTAGTTTAATTACTACATTCTGTATTTCTGATCTGTCGGATGTGCCTTTTTTTATTAAAGAAAGATGTTTGTTCTTGCTATAGGAGAATGTTGATGCTCTTATCAACTGCGTAATAAAGAATATTGGATTCAACCAGGGGAAGCCTGTAGCGGCATTTACGATATACAAATGCCTTCTTCATTGGAAATCCTTTGAAGCGGAAAGGACCAATGTGTTTGATCGTCTTGTTCAAATGATTGGTTCTGCTATCAAGGTACTGAATTGCATGTCAAGTCTTTATAATTAAGACAATCTCACCAGATGGGATACTGTGCCCCTTTTTTGTCATTAATTTTCTGGAACAGGATAATCTGGTTTTGCTTATATATACATCTAATAATCACACTTGCTTGTGACGATCTTTACTATCAGGATGATGATGACAATGAGCATTTGGCATATTGGTTGTCAAATACTTCAACCTTGTTGTTCATGATCCAACAAAGTTTGAAACCTTCTGGAACCGGTGCCACTCCACAGCGAAAACCACCTGTTTCGACGTCCTTGTTTGGAAGAATGGCCATGGTATATATACCTTTCTTTGTATATGTTAATGAAGTTTTGTTCCAAAATCAATAAAATTTTCTAAAGCATTATCTTCTAATATACCAGGGTTTCCGTTCAGCCCCTTCCTCTGCCGAGACTTCTGCAGCAGCGGCAGCTGCAGCTGCTGCAGTGATTCGCCCGGTTGAGGCCAAGGATCCAGCTTTGCTTTTCAAACAACAGCTTACAGCTTACGTGGAAAAGATATTTGGAATGATTCGGGATAATCTGAAAAACGAGTTGCAACCTTTGCTTTCCCTTTGCATCCAGGTCGGCCAAGAAAAATGTTCATTATTCTCTTTTTACCTTTGACACTGTTTGTCTTCTTTTTCTATTTATGTGGTAAATGCTGATATGAACGGACCTCTTTAGGCACCGCGAACATCAACGGGACGTTCGCTACGATCTGCAAAGTCAATGGGCAAGGATTCTCCTTTAGACCACTGGAAGGGAATTAATGACGGCTTATACGCACTTCTAAACACACTCAAGGAGAACTTTGTATGGGAAATCCATGAAACCCTCTCTTCTCCAGTCACGTTTTGTTTCTCTTTAATGTCTAGAAATTCTTATATCTTTTTCCACTTTCAGGTTCCTCCGGTTCTTATCCAAAAGATATTTAGTCAGACATTCTCATTCATCAATGTCCAATTATTTAACAGGTGAAAGATTGGTTTATTGTCTATTATCAACTAGGCATGTCCATGTAAAGGCATTTTTCTAACAGGGTTCATTTTTGTCTGCAGCCTTCTTTTGCGACGAGAATGTTGTACATTTAGCAACGGAGAATATGTAAAATCTGGTTTAGCATTGTTAGAGGAATGGTGCGCCGAAACAAAAGAAGAAGTATTCCCCAGCGAATGCCCCTTTCTATTTTTGTGAGTGATAGATTGATTTATGCATAGCACAATTTAGCTCATCATACCTTTGCTCTTGAATCGCAGTATGCTGGCTTATCCTGGGATGAACTTAAGCATATCAGGCAAGCTGTTGGATTCTTGGTATGTTCTTATAAAATTTTCTGCCTATAAGAGATTTGTCTATTCTATTTTCCACATTTCTTATATCTCGTGATAAGAGGTTTGTGCAGTTCTCATGATTGTCCCTTTAATTGGCATTTACCAACAGGTCATCCATCAGAAGTACAGAATCTCGTACGATGACATCGCACATGATCTATGCCCTGTGAGTCCCTCCATCGGCCTGACCCTTTTGCTCGATAATAGACGGATATTGTTCAGATACATAAGAACTTGTTTATGAATTTGAATGTTGTGGTCAATTTTGCAGATCCTTAGTGTCCAGCAACTTTACAGAATATGTACACTGTACTGGGATGACAGCTACAACACAAGAAGTGTATCCCAAGATGTAAGCTTTTCTGCAGAAACACCTCCCTTTCTCTTTCTCTTTCTCTCGTTCTTCTGAGTCCTACTAATGTGTATGAACAGGTGATTTCAAGCATGAGAGTGCTTATGACAGAGGATTCCAACAACGCAGACAGCAGCGCCTTCTTGTTAGATGAAGATTCTAGGTAACAAAATAATCCTAAATCCAAACTCTTTATCTCTGGCTATGCAGAAGTTTAAATTTAGCTACTTAAAATCAAACGAGTACTTCATTTTTCTTCTCCTGCTCAGCATTCCCTTCACGACCGAGGATCTATCGAGTTCAATGCAAGATAAGGACTTTGCAGAAATGAAACCTGCCGAAGAGCTTGAAGAAAACCCAGCTTTCAGTTTCTTGCTTTGATGGTGAAGATACCAAAAGAAGCTGTAGGTGTTCTGTCCCTTCGAGAACACACCGGTGAAAGCAGAGGGAAGAAGAACAAATGTCGCCGGAGATTTCAAGATTCATTTTTCATTGGCTAGACATTGATTGATTCTCATTTCGTTGGTCCCAGGGGAGTTCCTTAAGGTCTATGCTCGGGCTGGGAGAAATAGAGAAGAGACATGGAACTCTTTGTTTTGTTCTTCTTGTGCAGTTTCTCCTTTGTTTCCCTTCTTTTTGGACCAACTTTAGTTTTAATTTTTTTACCAAACAAAAAAAACTTTTATTTTTAATTTTTGGTGGTTTTAATTAATCTGGTGAAATGCGCCAGTTGTTATAGAAAAGATATAACAGACACAACTCATGTTTTTGGTTTGTACAAAAGGAAAAAATGGGTAAAAGATTAGTTTTGGTATATATCGATGTTTTTTTATATATATACCCTATATCCATGCATTTTTCATTGTTTTTTTTTTCAGTGATATTACAGTTTCACAAACTTGAACGCTACCAGATTTGAATCTATTTGATAATTTTTACTTGTATAGAGATGATGATGAATATAAAATTAGATTAGTAGAATAAATTCCCATTTCAACCTTCTCACATTATCTTTCATTTCTTTTTTTTTTTCAATTTTGTTAAAGAAAAATGGTTATCTAATATATTGCTTTCAAATATAATAATTTTTAATGATTAATTATTCTTTTTACCAATTTGAGTCCACAACTTGCCCCGTAAGCAAAAACAAACAACAACAAAATCCTTGCTACACAAGCATAATATCTTCTTTATATGTACGGACGAATCATCGATTATAGAGAAAGAAAAAAAAAGTTAATCAACGTAAAAACACAACCAATCAACACCTTTACTCTCTCTGGAAAAAAAAAAATACGATGAGGCATACGATGAGACTTCTTGCCCAACAAGCAAGGCGGATTCCGGCTTCGAACATCGCTTCACGCGTTCGCCATTCCGGAACCCTAATATCTCCTCACCATAACAACCCTTTGCTGCTTCGTATCGCTACGGCTTTAGATCAGAAGACACCTGTCGTTCAAGTGCTTGATCAATGGCGAGAACAAGGCAATCAAGTTAAGCCTTCAGACCTCAGATGCATCATCAAGAAGCTCCAAGATTCCCAACTATTTCCCCATGCCCTCCAGGTTTCTAATCTAACACAATCCTCACTGATCAAAAACCCTTTCTTTATACATATATACACAGATCATATTATCTTTCTCTGTTTTCTTGCTGGTTTTTAGATATCAGAATGGATGAGTTCACATCAGGTTTACACTCTGTTCCCGGAAGATATCGCATCTCGGATTCAGTTGATAGAGATAGTTTTGGGTCTGAAAGAAGCAGAGAAGTTCTTCGAAAAAAGCATCCCTGAGACCATGAAGGACTACACTGTCTACACAACTCTATTAACCTTGTACACAAGATCCGAGACCACTCTGCAAAAAGCAGAGTCCGTGTTCGAGAAGATGAGAGAGCTCGGTTTCCTCTTGAAACCTGCCCCATACAACCTACTGCTATCTATCTACAGCCCAATGAGAAACCAAGAAAAGGTGAATCAGCTTCTAAACGAAATGGAAGAGAACAATGTCGAGCCAAATGATCTCACAGCAAACTACGCGCTCTTGGTATACGCAGCTGTATCAGACATCAAAGCGATGGAGAAGTTTCTAAGCAGCAACGAAGGAATCAAACTAGAGTGGAGAACGTGCATAGACATGGCAAAGGCTTACCTGAAATCTGGTTCAACGGAGAAGGCTTTAGCTATGCTGCATAGAACAGAGCTGTTGGTTGATTCAGTGTCAAGAAACCGGGCTTACGAGGCTCTCATGACCGTGTATGGTGATGTGGGAGAGAAAGAAGATGTGTATAGGATTTGGGAGCTTCACAAGAATGCTGGTCAGAGTAATGAAGGTTATAGAGCTGTGGTAAGCTCGCTCTTGACTATAGGAGACATGGAAGGTGCAGAAGTGATATATAGAGAGTGGGAGCTTGGAGGTCTTCCGTTTGATCCTCGTATACCTAATACTCTCATCTCTGGATATCATGAAAAGGGTATGGAGAGAAGACAAAGAAACTAATCAGCTTCTTGGATTCATAATCCATAATAGAGCTCTATAACAATTAGTTTAGCTTCTTTCAAGAAAGAAATAATTCATTTCTTTTATCCTTCATAGTAATCCTTTTTTTCACATCATATGTTGTCAAAGAATTGAGCCATGGAACCTTCAAAGAATGGAGAGTGCCTTCCATTTTTTTTTTCTTCAACACATACACAATTGTTTCAAACGTGGAGAAATTTGATCCGGACTTGGCTGAAAATACACACATTATGGATTCATAGCATATTTATTCCCAAGAAAGATCAAAACGTTTGCCAAGAGACATGGATATAGCAAGAGAGCTTCATAAACGAAGTTTAAAACGCCCAAAACGCTTTATTCTTGGAGTCAGAATATCAGAAACAATCAGCGACTCTGTTTTGTCATCCTCAGTGTATAGCCTTGGTGTTATGTGGTTTAACAAATACACTGAGTGAGTTTGCTGACTAAACTAATTTGGAGACTAATTAAGGGAAATTCATTCATGTAGGGCAGTAGGGCTGATTTAATTAAATAGTTAAGCTAACAAAATAAGGTTTGTGAACCGGATCTTCGCTTGGACAAAATAACATTACTGTAACGGTGCAGTAACTTATCTACCACGCAAAAAGCAATGGAACGAGACAAATCCCAGAGTTATCTCCCAGGGTTTCTCACCGCATCCCATTTATTTCGAGAGTAAACACCAAAGGAGAAAAACGAAGTCTCTTTCTTTTTTTTTGGATAAAATGTGAATATATTACCAAAAGGAACACGCGTTTAATTACAATGTTTTAATGCTTTAGACAAAACCAGCAGCTTTAGGCCCAAAAAAAAATAAAAGCCATAAAAACTAGAATGGGAACAATATTACAAGATGCAGATGATCAAGCGTGGGTGAACCATTGAGAGAAGCTTCTCGCAGCCTCGTTTTTATTATTGTTATTGTTTTTGTTATTGTGGGTGAAACCATTGAGAGAGAAGTCTCTTTCGTTTTTGTTATTGTGTTTGTACATCAAAACAACAACAACATTTTGTGAAAAAACAAAGGAATTGTAGCTAAAATAAGTTGAATTTATTATTTTTAAGCCAACTCGCTAAAATAATATGTAAATTTTTTTAACAAAATGACTTTTAAATATAGGAAAATGCTTACGGGTATTATTTGGAACATATAAAATTCTACACGGTATTTTAAATAACCAGTTTACGGGTATATATACTTCTTAAATCCTACTATAATGTACCCGCTTATCAAATTCTTTAAAAACAAATATTTAACCGCTTGAACGACTTGGACTTTGTGACTTTGTGTCTTCTAAACCATTCCTTCTTTGACTCTGGAACCGCACATAAAAAGAAAGAAAAAAAATCTAGTGATTTTATCTTTTAAAGAACTGCTTAGATTTGTTATAGTAATTAGTTATGTCCCATCCTAAATACAAGAAAATGTAAATAGAAAACAAATATAATGATATACAAAATATTTTTTGTTTAAAAAATATCGACTTACCTTATCATCATCACTACAGCAATTGTCATTCTTTGATTTCTTTCGTAATATGATGCTAATCCACCACGATACCAAACCTAACAAGACGATGATGAATGCGACGACACTCCATACGATAATTCCTGTGCTTTTGGAACTCATTTTGCTCTTCACAACTTACGACAACAGTTATTTTTTTTTTTCTTTTAAATTTTAAGTGTCTTCTTCTTTTCTCATACAATTACATGATTTATACGAAATTACAAAAAAAAATATTAATACTATAAAAGACCGCATGGAATCATCAAAAATCATATGAGTAAAGAAAGCTCTTGCATGCCTCTATTACAATGAATTAGAAGACGTGAAAGCATGGGATTCTTTTTGTTAAAAAAAAAGAAAGGAAAAATGTCTGGGCTTGATTTGGATCTATTCAAGTTTTTTTCCATATCATACAAATTCAGATTTTAATATTTTATAACCCTATATCAGGAACAAATTTTTACTGGCAACGAAATTTAAATATATTACTATTTTTTTGTAAAAAAAGTATATCATTGTTGATGATTTTTTAAAATGAATTGTATATATATATAAATATATATATGCATACATGTAATATGCCTCTAAGAACTTCTTTTGGTAGCGCTACATCTAGAAGTTTGACAAAAGGTTAAAATTTCATTATATATATATATATATATAGCTATAAAACTACATAGAGAAAGAAATGACCACTGTTTTGAATTCTTTAATTTAATCACTGTGTAGAGAAGAATGAATATAGTGATACCAAATTACAATTTCTTTTTTGCGCAAAGCAAATTACAATTTCAACGTTAGTCACCTTGATTAGTTAATTAATAAGATACATTAGTCTTAAATAGATACACATATATACGTACTTTCTTATGTGTAATAAAATTTGCATCCCGCAACTTGGAACTTGGAAGCTCAAAGTAGTCTCTCTTTTGAGAGGGGAAAAAAGAATTTGTATCCCAAAAAAAATTTACGTTACAGACTTACAGTTGTAATTAAATACTCCAATTTTGTCAGACGACAAAACCCCCACAATGAATAAAAGGATAACTAATTTATAACAAACAAATGAAGTTATTCAAAAGGAGTCCACTTGGATCTTACCAGGACCATATTGAGTTTTCTAACCACAGGGACCATATTAAAAGCCTTTGTAATATTTTGTTTTTTCTTTTCTCGCAATATGGTTATGGTATGTATGGTTAACACCATCTCCCTCGTGGTCGTGGTACATTTCAAGTTTACATTTTTGTTTTTTCGTCCTATATGGGTAATCAATGTTCATCGCTAAAATGGACCAATCTTCTCCCAATAAATATTAGTTGACTTTTAAAGTTGTGAGGATTTTTTAATGAGATCGTTAAAAATTCTGAAAGTATGTCGGTTTCTTTTAATAGAAAAGTGAAACAACTAACGAATGTATTAAGAGACTTATAAAATATTAGTTGACTTTAAGCGTCTGTTGTTTAGTTTATCATCTGACACTATGAATATGTAAAGTACATATTATTAAAACATGAATTAAAATTTTCTCAAAGTCAAAGCTACAACGTTCTGGGGGTTAAGAAATAAAATAAGTGGACTCTAAGAAAATACTACAATTATGAGTCGGGCTATTTCTATCATCGTCACTATAAGTTTTTGTTCCTTCTTCTTTTTTTGTTCCTTACTTTTCAGCGTTAAATCTTGTTTTTTTTGAAATTATATGCTAGTTTAAAAAATATGTTCCCAACATGGATCATGATCCACAAGTCATATACCCAAGTGCATTTTTAGTGATATCTTTTGCGAATGTTGTTTAGAAAATGATTTATTACAAATGATTAACATAATCTAGTATATATATAGTTATATATAATTTAGGAGTCCTCCCTAGTTGCTACAAATTTAAAGTAGATATCTTGTATTATGATAATGTAGAGCCGAATTCTTACCGAGAGTGTGGTCTTTCCTTCAGGCCAAAGTAGATAGAGAGATACTTAATTAGATCGAGATTAGCTTCATAATACTAGTGAGACGTCGGTGCGTTGAACTTGAAAGAGACCTTATCCATATTAAAAAAATCAGTCGACATAAGTAAGAGGACTTTCTAGTTGGCTGACAAGTAAGCATCTAGTTAGAGAAGAGAGATACATGGATAAAGGGAAAATAGGTGAATTTATTTTTTGTCTCCATTCATGCGTCACAAAGCAAACATGTTCTGACGCTACAAGAAAACAATCGTTTTCCAACGGTCCATTACGACGGTTATTAAATCGTCGCAAATTTACAACGATTTTGCGACGATCTTATGTCTAATTTAAAAACCGTCGTAAAACCATCGTATAAAAAAATCGTCGTAAACTCGACCTACAATTTACGACGAATTACGACGATTATACATCGATAACGAGAGATTTGCTAGTAAATGTAAAATCGTCGTAAATTCGTCGCAAAATTACGACGAATATACGACGACTACATTTCGATGTACATATTACGACGATTGTACGTCGAAAAAGGAGTTAGGTGAAAAACATTTAAAACATGTTTACTTAACAATTGTAGATGAAAAAATTTATCGCAAAATCGTCGTAAACTCGTCGTAATATTATTGTTGAATGTAAAACCGTCGTAAAAAGTCGTCGTAAAAGCGTTGTAAAGCCCGAAATTTTCCTATAAATAGATCTTCATTCCTTCATTCAATCACAACACATCATCATTCCAACATAAGAGTATCTTCATCTTGGAGACCCATTGTAGGTCTCTTAAATTTTAGTATAGTGTTGTAAATCCTTATATATTGGGTTGTCCATTGCTGAAAACTCGAATTAAGAGTTATATTACTTTGAATCAAAGAAGTAATAATATTATAAGGTTAATTTACTTCATTCACGTGGCTAGACGTGACACAAGAGACCACCTCCTTTATAGTCTAATCAATAAAAAGAGATAGTATTTTGAGTTTATTTTCAAGATATCTATATACGAGCTAAGAAGTTGGATGTATATGCGTAAAGATTCAGATGGGGCGTTGACAGAAGAGTTCAAGAACGGGTTAGAAATATTTATGTATCAAGCTACAAATATGGAGAGAACGAAAGATAGTGGGAAAATGTTTTGTCCTTGTTTGAAATGCAAGAATACGAGGTATACACTAACCAAAACCGTGTGGACGCATTTATTAAATAGAGGGTTTATGCCGCAATATTTTGTTTGGTATCTACATGGAGAAGGATATGGCAGTAATACTCATGGGAATGCTGGTAGTAGTAGTAATTATCAAAGTCATGTTGATATTGATGAATCGAATTATGGTCATCAGCCTAATCAGTATCAATATGACCAAAGTGTAGATCATGATAGGATGCACGAAATGGTGACTGATGCATTTCATGAAACGCATACGGGTAATGCTGTTGAGGAACCTAATGTAGATGCCAAACGATTTTATGATTTATTAGACAATGCTAATCAGCCAATCTACGAA